CCTTCCAAAACCAGGCAAATATCATTCCAGACTCAGCAGTTTAGGAATTATCACCCTACAGAATACTTTTGACAATGTGCTAGAGAAGATTATTGCTGTTAAACTACAACAGTTTTTGGAAAGGGAAGAGCTCATACCAAAAGGTTTGGGTAGTTACATGGTCTAATGCAGCTACTTTTACTTTTGATGTTTATGAAGAGTTCCAGAACAGAAAGGAGACAGTTGTGACTGCACTTGATCTTGAAGATGCCTACAATAGAGTCAGATATGATATTTTGAAATCTGCACTCATGGAGAAGGGAGTTTGTCCGTGGCTTGTGAACTGGATAGCAGCTGTCCTGCATTCACGTATGGTTGCCCTTCCCCTGGGTACATGGACCTCAGAACCCTGTAAAATAGAGCTGGGACTACCCCAGGGTTCTGCAATTTTACCGGTGCTTTTCAATGTGTATACAAGCAAGATTGCAGAACTTGAAGCACCAGGTGTTGGAAGGATATTGACATTTGCTGATGATGTTCTTGCATATAGGCAAGGAAGTGACAGACAACGAATAGCCCAAGAGCTACAGGCAGCTGTAGACAAAGTGACTGATTGGTGTGCAGAAATTGTGCTGTCATCAACCCAAAAAAGGCAGCTGTTTTGTGGTGCTCTCTGGACAATAGAATTGTGAGAGCTAATGTTCCAAGCCTCACAATTAATAACAGTAACATCAAAAAAGAAAGCAAACTGAGGTACCTGGGTATCACTTTCGATAGAAGCCTGTCCTATAGGAAACAGGTGGAGGCAGTTGCAGTGAAATGCGAAAAAGGACTCAATGCTCTCAAGGTTATGGCAGCAATGGACATGGAACAAAAAATGCTGTTCACAATGTTCCAGCATGTGATCCTGTCCGTGATAGATTACGGACTTCGAATGCTTACCATATCAAAGAGTTAGCTGATAAAACTCAAACACATACAGAATGAAGCCATGCTGGTAATTCTGGGATGTACAAGAGATACTCTGGTAGTATGTATGCGATATATACTTGTACTGCCTACTATTGCAGATAGGCTCAAAGTTCTGCAGGCAGAATCATATGTCAGAGTAGCTGAAGACAAGAAGCCCCTCCTGCATGAAGCCCTGGGTAGAGCTAAGGGTCACAGACTGAAAAGAGGAAGGTCTTGGATGGCGCAACCTGAAGACACAATTGAACATGTGTGTAGGCTTGAGAAATTTGAACGAGGAGAGGAGTGGGCAAGGTGTCCGAACAAGTTTCAGACGTGTGTAGGGTTCTAATCACTTTAGGTCGTGAGTGCAGGGACTGGCCAGCTGGAGCTGCAGAATCAGAAGTTTAACAAATGATTCATAACAATTCCCGCCCAGGTGATGTGATTATCTATACAGATGGCTCTGCGTTGAAGAGCAGACGAAGTGCATAGGGGTTCATAGCAAAGTCGAATGGACGTCACTTAGTGCAGCCAAGCCTTGCATATGACATCACATCTAGTTTGAGAATGGAGGTGGAGGCAGTCCCTGCTGCCTTCCGCTGGCTTGAGAATCAGCTGTACGTACATGCCATAATTGTAACTGACTCACAGAACATGTTGAGAAAGATGAAGACAGGCATACTTAGTGGAGAGTGGCAAGCATCACTTCAGAGATCCCGGGTAGTTAGCATCCTTTGGATATTTTCTCCAGGTAATGCTGGTGTGTTGGGAAACGAGCAGGCAGATAGACTGGCCGGTTCTACACCACTTGGTGGTGAACTGATGTATGAAAGGCTGGATGTTGTGAGGGCCCTTTGGGAGCGAGTGAACAGTGCTGAGGAACAGTTTAATCATTACTGTCTGAGGAGAATGGCGCTGCGAGGAGTTACCAGAGGATGTGGCCGACGCTCAACACTCAGGGGAAGGATGAGACGGATATACAACCAGACGGCTACTGGTGCCATCGGAATTGGAACTCTTCGCTTGCTGCTGAAGATGGGAAATGAGCACTTATGGGAGTATCCCGAGGCTGTGATGTCGATTCTTAATGACTGACTGACTTTCTACCCCACTAGGACATCATACAAGCAATAAACACCCGATGACACAAAGTGCCACTATGTGGATGAGGATCACCGTGGAGAGGTCCCAGAAACCGCGTTCAGACAATTGGCCACATTGATGGCCTGCCTATATTGCGGCCCCTGGCAAAAGCCAGAGTAGAGCTTCCAAAAAAAAAAAAAAAAAAATTACATCCTGAAAAGGACGTAAGGAATAGTGTTTTTAATTTTTAATTCAACATTCTCACATATATTCGTGCGTGCACCTCTGTATCTTTCGTTTCATAACTTTTTTTTGCATTAAAATTTGAAAAACGAAACAACATGGCTGCGCCCATACGCAAATGATTTACTAGATTTCAATGGAATTATTAAAGAAAGAATGTAAGTGATGCAAAGAGTATACAGATGACAAATGCGATGCCTAATTATGATTATAGAACTAATAAGCCACAATCAGATAACTTAATAATTGAATTATTTTGAACTGTTACTTTTTACATGTTGACATCAAAATTCTGAAATTTGTTGTTGTAGTCAGTAGTCCGACGAGCTAGTGCGTTGGATTAATCATTAAGATTAAGACCTCGCAAAAAATTATATTTTCAGGTATCTTAGTGAAAGGTTTCTGGTTAATCCATTAAATTTGTCAATACAGTTTATTATCCGTTTAACCATCTCTCTCTAAAATACTGCACTGTTTTTGTCGGGAGGAGGAATTTCTAAAATTTCTTAACTTGAAGTACGCTTTCACTTTCAGCACTTTCGCCATTCTTCGGATCTTGCTAATCACACTATCACTAGTCTACTAACTTCTAGTACACTGACTAGCCAGCGCTATGGTCTGTGCTATAGTCTGTGCGAGTCCCACGCCTTCTCATACTTATAGCACGACAACTTACATAGCAACAATACTATCGTCTGGAAAGACCGAAAGGTGCCAACAGTTACAATATATCCATTTATTGTTGATTTTATTGAGATAGTGGCTGCATGATGATCATGATGCATGTGTTGTTTCCCTGAGTCTTTCCTGTTTGATTTTTAGACATTTATTATTTGTTTTGTCTTCACTTTAGATAGAGTTAAGACCTCTATGTTAAAGACTGTGCAAATGGTGAGTTTAAAATTCATGACATTTTAAAAAATATACAGTTTTTGAAGTAATTAGTTGACAGATACTGATACCATATGGCTGTGCGGGGAAATGACTAGCAGTATGATGTTACTTTTTCAGTCTGCATTGACGTGACACAATGGTCTTCATTTGTCAGCATCTGATCCTCAGTGTATGCCACTAGGTGTCACAGTCTAACATGATAAAAAGACAGTAACAGTATGCTAACTTGCTGGTGTGATGTGAAAAGTCTTAGGCCTTAGGTTGTCATCGTCTAGTCTGATCCATCTTCTTCTAGGTCCCCTTTTGCTCATGACTCATTGTGTTTCCATTTTCATATTGTATGCTCTCACAGCTGGCATTGTTGATTCATTGTCACTGGGTGGCGGAACTGTTTCAGTCTTTGTTTTTCTATAATTAATATAACAGTGGGTATTGTAGAATAGACAGTATCAGTTCTCTTTATGCCTGGTGGCACATAAGGCTTCAGAGGACTTTCCATGCCTTCCTGTCCTGTGCAATCTTCAGTGCACTTTTCCATGTTAGAGATGCAGCACTCAGTTCACTTTCTGTCATTCGTTTCCATGTTTTTGTCGCCCCTTCTTTCTCTTTCCCTCTGGTGTCTTAGTGAGAGCTGTTTTGGCAGGTATATCAGGATTCATTCTGATGAAGTGGCCAAGCCATTTCCATCTTCTCTTGGTTATCATACTGTCTAAATTTTCTTGGTTTGTGACTTGAAGTAGTTTAGTGTTTAAGATTGTATCTGACTGGACAGACAATTTTGATAATTCTACGAAGACGTGTGGTGGAAGGTGTATAGCTTGTGTGCATCCTTTTTTGTCATTCTCCCAGCATTCAGCTGCACAAAGAAATACTGGCAATATGATGCTCTTGTAGATTCACTTTCTCCTTCCTCTGCAGTAACTGTTTGATTTCCAGATTTGCCTCATCGTTCCAAAAGCGGCTCTAGCTTTGTTCAAGCGTGACTGTATGTCTTCCTCTGTCCCAGTAGGGACACCACATTGCCAAGATATGTAAACTGTTTTACATTTTCAAATGTTTGGTTATTTATGGTCACTAGTTGTTGGTTTGGACTGTTTGTCATGATCTTAGTTTTTCTTGTATTTTTTCTTAGCCTCTCCATTTCTGCTGTGCTGTGTAGTCTGTTACTTTTCTCTTGTATATGTTCATGTTTAGAATCGACTGTATGATTGTTTCTGATTTTGTGTTTACCATTAGTACTTTTTTTCTGATGTTTAATTTTATTTATTCTGTGGCAGCTCACGGTTGTGAGTCTTGGACTCTCACTCACTCACTGAGGAAAAAATATTGGAGCTTTTGAATTGAAATGTTATAGAAAAATTTGTAGAATACCATGGATCAAGAAGAGGAAAAACAAAGACATTCTAAACGAGTTAAACATCATGGAGAACTGGCTCATAAACAGCATCCTGTCCCAAAAGTTGAAGTATTTGGCCACATCAAATGTCATGGTGGTTTGGAAAAGACGGTGATGGAGGGTGCAGTTTGTGGAACGCGAGGCAGGGGTCGATGACTGCGAAGATGGATACAGGACATTGAAAGCATTGGCACTGAAATCATTTGGTGCCGGAGAGCTGGCTGGGAAAAGGGATACTTTCAGGCATGCTGGGAAGAGAGTGAGGTCCTGTAAAGGACTTGCTGACTGATGATGATTACAAGCAACTCTTCCCCTTATATATTATTATTTACATTGTTTATGTCTTTTCAGATTTTAAACATGTGGATGGGATGAAACTCTGCCTGTGTGGAAACTGTCATCACTTTTAACAATAAACAGTCAGCTATACACATATTCTCAGACTAAACAACAAATGGAGAGATCTCTAGAGACTGCAAGGCCAGTGGTTCTTGAAGCCTTGGCTCAGGCCTGCAGTCAGAATGCAGATATTTTAAAACCAGCTGAACAGAAGCTTCAGCAGTGGGAGACTGAACCGGGATTTTATTCTATTTTAACTGTAAGTGTGATCTTTCTTCTCGTGATTTGTTTAGCTAGTTCCCAGTTTGTTCTAAACATCTTGTAGAATTTATTTCCTTTCTTATTTCACTGACTGTGAACTCAGATGGAAAGTTCTGGTTGTTCATCCAATTCTGTACTTTAGTCTTGTTCCAGAACTCGAGTTTGCATGCACATGTTTTGCAGACTTTTACTGGCTTATTTGTTTTCAGACAATTGATTCCTTGCCTCTCAAGCCTAAGCATTCCTAATGACTCAGTTCTTATGACATGCTTGTTAGGGAGGCAGTTGGTCTGTTCTTCGACACCCCCCCCCCCCCCATCCCTACCCCCTTTTCCACTATACACACAGGGATCTCTTTTTTTTTCTCTTTCAGAATGTTTTCTTCCTTTCAGAATGTTATTTTGTTTTATCTTGTTGCTATTGCATTTGTTTTTGTTCTAATTTTCTACAGTCATACTATTTTAGCAAGGTATCTTTTTCATCTTTTGTTATTCTCATTGTTGTTGATCTTTTCTCCCTCCTTCTTGTTTTCTTCTTCTCCTCCCCTTTATTCATTGTTCTGGTATTGATTAGGAAAGAAACACTCATGTGATTTAGTTTTATTATTAGCTTTAAAATTTACTTAGTTTAGCTAATTATGCTCTGTTGCTGTATTTATTTATGTTATTGTGTCAGTCATTCATCTGTATGTTCACTTTTTTTAAAGGATATATTCTGCAACCACACAATTGATGCAAATGTCCGTTGGCTGGCAGCTCTCTATTGCAAAAATGGCATTGAGAGATACTGGCGAAAGACAGCTCCAAAGTAAGATACATTTATTTAGTTTCTTCGTTTTCAACAGGTTTCTTGTCAATTGGCCTAAACAGGCATGCTTCTTTGCATTTTGTGATTTGTGAACAGAGTGTATAAATTTATATGGCGACACCTTTCATAAACAACTTTATTATTGTCTTCGTTGTTCTTACTTTCCGTTTATTTTCCATTTGCCACATGTTTCGGTGTTTTTGTTTTTTGCTTCTCATGTTACAGCCAAAGAAATTATCATTTATGTTATGTATATTTGCAGCATTAACCTTTTCTAGAATAATTTGATTGCAGATCTTAGCTATCTGTAGCATTTTGAACATTCTTCTACTGTAAAACAGATCTCTGAGACATCACAGGACTTTTTGCGTGTTGACTAATTTTCCAGTATTCATGGTTGTATAATCCTAGAACAAGATATATATTTTCTTTTCCTATTTATGTATACTTATTTGTATGCAGATTATTGCCTCTCAGGCAGATGCAGTCCGACATCAAAGGAAGCCCCTAATTAGTAGAGTCACCTTTCATATATATTCTTGAGCCGTCTGGTGCTTGGCATCTGTTATCTCTTTCCTGCCATTATCTGGGTGCTTGTACCAAATCCAAACTTGCCTGAGTAACATTTAATTTCTCAGCAAGTTGGTAATTCATTTTACTTCATGTTTGTTGGTGCAGCATTCAGCATGTTGTCGTCTTTGGATGTTCCAGCCCTCACAGCTCACAGGCTGCACTGAGGGGACTAAATATTTCCTGTATTATTGTAACTATCAGTTCTCTAGAAAGACACGTTATTCAAAATGCTTTAAAGAAATTGAATGTCTCAGGCAAAAGGCACAAATATCACAGTTCTTCTTATCTTCTTCCTTGTCAAAGTCTGATTTTTACTGAACCTGTTCCACAGGTGAGTGTATGAACAAATTCATGTAAATAATTTTGAGTTCATATGTTAAACCATACATTCTGCTTACAACTGTTTTTATTAAGCATGGTAGCCTGTTGTGCCCAGTTTCAGATATTCTTGAGAAATATGTAGTGTTATAAAGAAGACTATTTTAAGTATACAAAAAAAAAATAGTTGTCTAGAAAACTGAAATATTTTAGCTGTATCAGGCGCCATGGCAGAGTTAACAGAATAGTAGCACAGGCATGGTGCTGGGAAAGAGGAGGCAGTGGCCCACCAACACAAGAATGGGCACATGCTGTAAGAGACACTCTGGGTAGGAATGCCTGAGGTAGGAGAGCTTTCAAGACACCAAGTTTTTTGTTGTTGTTCAGGTGGGCTGTGATGAAAGAGATGTTCTGCAAATGGCCTGCTACATGAGGATGATGTACTTTACACTTTAATCCCTGTGTGTATTCCAGGGCTCCAATTTGGGGGGGGGGGGGGGGGGAATAGACTCCCTTCCCCCAATTATATTGTGAAAGATATCATCGAAGGAAACACCCCTAATTAATCCCCTTTTGTGACATACTTGTTAGGTCCCCGTGTGGGTTCCCAGACCCTATTATAGGGAAATCAAGAATAGACCCACTGCCTACCCCAAAGCATGTCGTAAGAGTCGACTGATCTGGAGCTTTTTTTTGAAGTCGGAGTGCATCTATCTGAGAGGCAGGGAACCAGCAGTCTGCATACAAATCAGTCAGATCTGTAAAATGGATACACACGCAACACTCAGGTTCTGGAACAGGACTGCAGTCCAGAAGTGGATGAACAACCAGAACTTTCTGCCAGAGTTTACAGCTGGTGAACGCAAAGAAGAAGAAGATACTTGTTAGGGGCAATGGACCTTTAATTTTGTCTTTCTACATATAACCTCAAACCCACATGAGGAGAGAGAGCAGTCACCAGAGTTGGATGTGATTCTGTCACTAAGAGTACCATAAGTCTTAAAACACCTGTAACGATGCTGTTCATTTGTTTTTGCACTCTACAGATAGCAACACAGATAGCCGTGTTGACAGCTAAAATTGCCAGGCTTGACTGTCCGAGAAACTGGGATTACCTCCTGCCAACTTTATTAGCTGCAGTTAAGTGTGATGTGGTGCTGGTGCAGGAGAGGGCACTGTTGATGCTGCACCATGTCACCAAGACCCTGGCTTCAAAGCGTCTTGCTCCTGATAAAAAGTTATTTGAGGAGGTGAGAAAACTGAAACTAAATTTAGACGTGAGTACCATAGTATATACTTTCGTCTAGTTCCAGAACTTGAATTCTGCCTGAACATCCATTTTACAGATCTGGCTTACTTAATGTTAATCCCTCACCTCTCTGGCAGATGCACTCTAACTTTGGAGGGGAAATCCCTAATGTCACCTTTTTCAGTAAATATCCACAAGACCCCATCAGCAGACTCAGCAGAAAGTAACATACAACAATTGTCCGTCTATGAACAGGACACTGCTGGCTAAACTACTACATGCGTAAAATAAAGACTATACAGTCACCACAGTGTGCCTGTCAAACAGGACCACAAACACCTGAGCACATTCTGCAGACCAACCCACTCTACCTACAACTTTGAAAAGACACCTCGCCTCAAGAGCAAAGTGTGCAGATCAAGCTATGGGGAACTATGTAGGACTTGCTGCTGACATGCGAGTTTATAGAGGCATCCCACCTTATGGTCTGATCTGAGCATACAAAACCGAACGCAAAGAAGAAGAAGAAGTCACCTTTTATGGCAAACATTATTAAGGAAGCAATGGGTCTGTTTGTGATTTCATGCCTAAAATTTCTCCAGTATCTTGTAGCCACCTGCAGGCTGGTTGATCCCTGCTTCTTCTTCCATGGATCATGACTTTCATCATTCTTTCTAAACAATAGCAGTGTTTAATATAACTGAAGTCTTTCATGTTTCTTTATGTGATGCATTTTTTGAGCCAGAAGCCTTCGATGTTCATATCCTGTGGTGTATCAGTGATTTTTTTTTCTGGATCTTTGCTGTTCTTATAATTAGTCTACGATATTTAAGTTTAAAAAACCTGAGTTCTTTAGTGATTGTGAAATGGTTTGTAACTCACATCAGTTTGTTTTCGCAAGAAAGATTTATGTTCTCAAAATATTTACTTTAATTTGTTTGCTAATATTGTGCCAGCAGAGACTTTTAATACTGTTCAACCTTATCCGGTACCATCAGTAGGAGCAGGCATAGGAATGCCCAGAGTGCTGTGATGTCAATTCCTAACTCAACTCAATTCCTTCATATCCTTTTCCTTCTCTTTTTTTTTCCTCACCCATCTACTTCTCGTTCTTCTTCTTCTTTTCCTCCTCCTTCTGCTTAATTTCCTTCTCATCCGCTTCTTTTTTTTTTCTCTCTTTTCTGCCCTCCCTAATTTTTCCTCTTCTTCTTTTTCCTTCTTAATCTTCTTCTTCCTCTTTTTTTTCTTTTCCTTTCTCCTTTTTTTCCAATTTTTCTATTCTTATTGTACTGCTTTTTCTCCTCATCTGTTGTTGATGAAAATGCCCATTTACTTTCCTTTTCTCAATATTATAAAAAAAAAAAAAAAAAACTAAACTGATGTGCTTTTTACAACTTTTTTTATAAGCTGACGCAGGATATTTTTGCCTACATGGTGAGTCTTTGGAGCTTAAACCTGGCCAGCTTTTTCCAACTGGCAGCACAACATGATGAAGCAATGGCTGCAACTATTGACAGATGTAGACTTATTTTGAAAGGTAAGAATTTGGTTTGTTTTGCAGATACATTAAAACTCTGCAAGCTGGCATCATTCATCATTGTGTGTGCTTTGAGTCGCCATTCTTTTCAACAGGTTGTGCCTGCCAAACTATTCACTGAAGAAATGTATTCTTGTAAAATGTATCATGGTAAATATCGTTTATAAGTTTAGTCAAGAGACTGACATATTTATATGTCGCGTTGAGATTCGTTATACTTCTTTTTCTTCGTTCACTGGCTGTGAATTCCGGCGGAAGGTCAGGTTAATCGCCCGCTTGAACTTTTGGCTTTTCCCTGGACCTGAGTTTTGCGTGTACAACCGTTTTTACTGACTTTCGCCGTTCCCTGCCTCACGGGCAGATGTACACTGACTTCGAGGGAAGAGGTCAGGCCTATTTTCTAGGAGGACTGTGGCCATTGTTTTGTGTGGGTCGAGATGTTACCTTATTTGTGTGGTGTCCTCTTTGACCTTTTCTCTACAGGTGTTGCCCCCGGAGTACCCCCTTTGGGGCAGCCTTGTGTGGGACGTCTAGCCCTCAAGGGAAGGCAGGGGCAGATCATGGGCATTTCCCGCCATCCAAGGAAGCTTCCATAAATGCGGAGCCGGCACATAACGCTTTGGTTCTGGGCTCACCCAAGGAATCGTCACGTCCTGCACATAACTGCCTAACCTCACAACTGTATTTGGCTTCACGCTCGAAACAGGCTGCACCCTCCGGAGATCGGCGGGAATCAGCCTGTGGGTTCTGGACTTTTGTGACTACTCGAATAGGTACAATCTTTTTCATCACACGATTGTCATCTTTAGCGTACTGTTAGCACAACAGAATGGAGAATTCTGCGTCAGGCGTGTCTTTATCTGTTTGGTCCCAACACTCAAGGGGGGGGGGGGTCTCGGGATGTGGACATTTGGACTATTTCAATCAATACGATTTATGATGGTCGGATTTTGAGCTTGCTCATGTGCCGTAGGATCTATTTTTGTCAGACAATTGGGCTTAACCAGCCGATGGATGGTTGCTGTCTTGGTGTACCTCAGAGCGGTGGCGACGACATTGAGGGTTGACAGAGGATGTACATGGGTAGAATATTCCTGCGAGACGCCACCCACAGGAGATGTTACTCGTCTGTGCTGCGGGTAAATCTCTAGGTCAAGGGTTGAGTCTCAGCAAGACAGTGTTCTCTCCACCTCACAAACTTTTAACCGAGGGTTGTCATTTTAGCTGTACATTTAGCAAGCACTTTACTCATCTTCCTAATGAGATTTGAAAAGTTTTTTCACCCATGCGTTTAAGGGTGGGCCGGTGAGAGCCACAAGGACACTACACCTCTGGGGGCCCGCCAACTCTAAGATCCCCTGACAGCTCTGTTAATGCTTATTTGAGACATTATCCGTGGCGCACGTCAAGGACGTGCTGTAGGAGTCTTGCGTGAGGTTCTGTAAAACCAGAACCGTGCAGGACTGGCACCTGAATGAAGTACGGAGTAACTCCTTATACACATCGTGTTGGGCTTAACTTTACCTCGCGCCTGTATCAGAAATCACCGCGCCATGATTCGTTAAACAGTTTTATAGTATTCCGCTCAAATTTTACATCAGTGCTGTTGTTCAATTCAATTTTAACCATGACCACATTCAACCTAGGATTGTGCTGTTGTTAACTGACTGACTTTTTACCCCACTAGGACATCAAACTGAGCGATAAACACCTGGTGGCATATAGTGCCACCATTCCGCTGAGGATCACCCATGGAGAGGTTTCAGAAACCCTGTTCAACCATTAGGTTATATTGGTGCCCCTGGCAACAGTCAGAGTGGGGCTTTTAAATAATTAAAAAATACTCATTTTTTATATCCATTTTCGTCCCTTATAGGAACGGAATAGTTAAGTGCTGCTGTTAAGTAAGTCAATTTTACCTCACCAGGACATCACACAGAGCGATAAACACCCGGTGACACAAAGTGCCACCATGTGGATGAGGATCACCCGTGTAGAGATCCCAGAAACCATGTTCAACCGATAGGTTATATTACCATTATATGCTGTGCCAATTGACGTAGAAATTAGGTCGTGAGTGCAGGGATAGGCCAGCTGGTGCTACAGAATTAGAAGTTCAACAAATGATTCATGACAATTACGATTCAGGTGATGTGATTTTCTATACATATGGCTCTCTGTTGAGGGACAGATAAAGTGCATAGGGGTTCATAGCAAAAGTGAATGGACGTCGCTTAGTGCAACAAAACCTGGCATATGATATTGCAATGTCTGGTTTGAGAATGGAGATGGAGACAGTCACTGCCGGCTTGAGAATAAGCTGTATGCACATGTCATGATTGTATCCAACTCACATAGCATGTCGAGTAAGGTGGAGACAGGCATGCTTTCTACAGAGTGGCAAGGATCACTTCAGTCCTGGGTAATTAACATATTTTGAATATTTTCTCCTTGTAATGCCGGTCTGTTATGAAATGAGCAGGCAGATAGACTGGCCGGTTCTGCACCACTTGGTGGTGAATTTATATGGGAGCCAGTGAACAGTGTGGAGGCACAGATAAATCATTGCGGTCTGAGGAGAATGGTGCTGTGAGGAGTTACCAGGGAATCTGGCCGACGCTCGACATTCAGGTAAAGGCTAAATGGATATACAATCCGAGGGTTACTGGTGCCATAGTAATTGGGACTCTTCACTTGCCGCTGAAGATAGATAAAAAGCGCTTATGTGGGTGTCCCGAGTGCTGTGATGTTGATTCTTAATTCAGCATTCGAATGTGTATCGATTTAATATAAAATTAGCTTCTCCCGTTTCACTTTGTGAATTATTTATCCATTTGTCTGTCTGTGTATATATAATTTTTTTTGTGTGTGTCAACAATTTAGTGCTGAGGAAGCAGGTAGGCTATGGTTTCAAGGAAGTACACAACAGTAGTGATGCCATGAACTTCATTTCAAATTTATTCCCACAATTGGATGCCCTTCTTGACTGCCGTAAGTATCTTTATGTGTCTAATAATGTCTTGTTGCTACTCTAAAGTAGCTGTGCATTAACGTATAGTTTATAACTCTGATTGCAATGTTTACAGTTGTCAAGACTGGAAAAATGATCTAAAACTCTGGCTAGTGGTGGTAGGGATGAGGTACATACTTTAATCTAAGAACAAGTGCGAAAGTTAGTTTGTACTAGGCCAGAAGGTGCAACAGTGACATAATACCATGGAATTTAGCACAGATTGTGAACGACAAAACTAAATAGCAACTAGTGTAAAATAAAACTATTTTATTATGGCACAAGCAGGAAGCTTTAGAAGGAGAGAAAGAGATTAAAAAGAACTTCAAAAAGCAGTAGTAAAGTAAGGGACCCTTTTCATAATATTATACTTGACTTGTATTTTTATAGGCTAGTCGGTTCTCAGCACCCGTTTCTGCAGTCAGTCAATTTGTCTACAGTTGCTTGTCGCTCTTGGGCTTTCCGTTGCTTATTAGTCTCATGCCTCTATGCAGGAACATCATCAGCAAATCACCTTCCAACACCTGGTGCTTCAAGTACTGCAGTCTTGCTCGTATACACATTGAAAAGCACTGGTGAAATTGTAGAACCCTAGGGTAGTCCCAGGGTGATATTACATGGTTCTGAGGACCATATGGGTGAGATGGTCAAATTCACACAGGCTTTGTTTGCTTTCCTATGATATTTAAGAGTTAAGGTAATTTTTGTTTTCAGATCCATAAGTTGTAGATTTGAACCAAAGAAATTTAGGCTGTAATGCTAATATCTAGCCACTACGCTACAGCAACTTTCTTTGAAGAGCAATATTAAAGAGTAATGTGGCAGATATAGCATTTAGTTTAGAAAAATCACAAAGTATCTTGACGAATGAAGAACTCATAATCACATTGAACTGGGAGTGCAAGGAATGGCCAGCAGGTGCAATGGAGGTGGAAGTTCTGCAATTCAGGATAATGCTTGCTCGAGTCATGTGATTTTTTCATACAGATTGTTCAGTGTCTGTAGGCAAAAGAAGTGCTTGGTTTTTTTTTAAGCAAAAGCTAATAGTTGACATTTGGTACAGGAGAGCCTAGCATATGATACCACAACATCCTGTTTAAGAATGGAGGTAGTTACTGCAGCTGCCCGCTGGTTAGAGAACACATTACAAACACAGTTTATGATTGTAACTGACTCAGAAAGCATGCCAAGGAAGGTTAGGACACCAGAGTAGCATGTTTCACTTCAGAGGTCACGGGTGAAGAGCATTGTCTGGATATTTTTACTGGGGTGTTTGTCTGGATATTTTTACTGGGGTTTTTGTCTGGATATTTTTACTGAGGTGTTTGTTTGGATATTTTTACTGGGGTGTTTGTCTGGATATTTTTACTGGGGTTTTTGTCTGGATATTTTTACTGGGGTTTTTGTCTGGATATTTTTACTGGGGTTTTTGTCTGGATATTTTTACTGGGGTGTTTGTCTGGATATTTTTACTGGGGTGTTTGTCTGGATATTTTTACTGGGGTGTTTGGATATCTTTACTGGGGTGTGTTGGAAAATGAACAAGCAGACAGATTGGCTGGCTCTGCACAACTTGGTGGAATACTGATGCATGATAAGGCAGTGTGAAACATGAAATTGATCATTTCAGTCTGTTGAGAGTGATGCAGCGAGGAGTGATGAATGGATCTGGCTAATACTCGACTCTCAGAGGAAAGGCGAGGAAGGCATATTATCAGACTGATACTGACACCATTGATATTGAAACTCTGTGCTGGCTGCTGAAGAGGGGGATGAAGCACCTATGGAAATTATCTTACTGCTGTAATATCAGTTCTGGAATCAACAACAAATTAAGAATTCTCAGATGGCTAGGTCACACTTGGAAGATGGAGGATGGTATAGTCCCTAAGGACATCTTCTGTGATGAGTTACAGATTATAGCACAATATAACAATATTATCTAGATAGATGGAAGGGTGCCAACAGTGTTTAAATGAATGAGTAAATTGGAATCAGTGGGCAGTGTTCAAAGTGTGATGTTTGAATAAATTATGCTTGAAATATGGGAGCTAGTTAGTTAGTTAGTCGACAGATTATCCTCATTGCACGTCGACCCACTCAATCCATAAGTGCTCGGATCCCCTCCTCAGTAAAGCCTGTAGCGGCTAATGACACCAGTTCTATGTTGGTTTATGAATTATGGGAGTAATTTCCTCCAGCAGAAATACAAAATCAAAGAGACAATAGTTAATGTTTACTTTTTTTTATAATAGGTCGCAGTCTTTGGGGTCACCATTCTATGCTGGAAAAGTGTGAACTCATTATTACATCAGTAACGAAAGTGGTAAGTGTTATCAATGCGTTAGTTTTTAGAAATGAAATAATATACTACCACCTATTAATATAAAAGTTAGTTGCATGTCCTGGCTGTTTGTGTTTTTTATTAACCCTTTGGAGACAACTCGGCCGATTAATCAGCCCAACAGAAAAAATAGCCAACAAGATGGCTGGGCCAATCGATTGGCCCTGTATAATACAAGCCTACGGATTGGCGGACAGGTTTCCATACCAGCCAGTCAGATTGCTTCTCGCATTTCTGGCACATATGGGTTGTTCATTGATGGCTTTTGAGAAAGTTTGATGAGTTTTTTAATTGTACTTTAATTTGTGTATGGGTGTGGGGTTACCTGTGCCACGACATTAGCGAAAAGGACTGTTGAGTCAAAGCAACCAAGATATAATAGGAGGCTGGAAAAAGTAGAACTAAGTGCCAGAGGTGTCTGGAGGGCCTACATGGGCCTTACTTCCCAAAACACATGTGTTAAGACTTTATCAGGCTTCCTTCATCAGACAAGTTAGCAAAATTATTCAGTTTAGTCATGTTTGTCCTAAATAATTAAAAATTGCATCCATAAATATGCAAATTTGATAGCTAATTTGAGTAAATGTTGAGGTGCTATGTGATTTGTAAAGATTGTGATAGTTCGTTCAGTTTCCTACACAAATATGTATAGTTTTATATGTGTTAATGAAACGCTTTATTTGTGTGTATACACTATGAGAATCCCCTCCTGACGGCCCCATCTTCTTGGCACAGAAACTCCAAAAAGCCTCCATCTCCAAAGGGTTAAGCAATTTTACTTTCAAATTTTTTGCTGTTGTTTTCTTAATGATCAGTTCTCTGTACTGGTGTTGAAATTAATGCAGAGTGGTCTGCTGCCATATCACCTGCTGCTGCAATCAAACTGGGTGTCTCAGAATTAAAAACCTGCTCACAACTCTCAAGCCACAGACAATGACCCAATAAGATAACTTTCTTAAAATTGATACTTCTCATGTATTTTCTTCTGCTTTTGTCATGAAAACAATGTAGACAAGCTGAAATGTTTATTCAATTTGAGAAACAATCTACATTAGCCAGTTTTACTTTCTGTCTTGTACCACTCGTCATCCATCCAGACTACATTGATTAAGCCCTTTTTTATTTTTCTGAGCCACTACTGTGAGGTGCCGTAAGTTCTTGATCAGCTCAGGGAAAGATATAAATCCGAACGAAAAGTATTTCAGCGAGTTTCACAAAATAACAAACAGAAATAAAACATGAGTGTTGCGGCTATGGAGCCTTCTTCAGCACATACATAGATTAGACAATACTACATAAATACACAATATCACTTATCTTCGTATCTCGTGGCAGCCAGGTCAGTGTCAAAGTGACATGTAAATTTTTACAGGAAATCAGAGTCTCAAGCTTGCAGACTGCTTCCTGGTAATTCCCAAAGGGTGCGGCCCGTAATGAGTGGAAGACGCAATATACAGATGTGAGGTTAAGCAGTCATGCAAGGACTTTATGATTCCTTTGGTGAGCTCACCACCAGAGAGCTATGTTATCACCTCTGCATTTATGGGAGCCTCTTTGACTGGTAGGAAATGCCCATGCTCTGCTCCTGCCTTCCCTTCGGGGTTGATCAGGTTGCAAGCAGCTGCCCTGGGTTGGTCATCATGGACAACACCTGTGGATCAGCAGGTGCTGAACTCACCACACATGAGGCTAAAAATGTCCCATGAAATTAACCAGAAGGCTAACCCGGAAAACAAATGCCGAAGATGTCACGGTGTCAAAGGAAAAGCGTAAATATCACAGCTATGCTGTAAACAGACACAGTCGACTTGCTTCTCTCGGTTAGCGATCAGTTTTTAGGAATGCTGCCTTTCTTTTATTCTGTACATTACTTGCAGAGGTAGAAGAGGATTGACAAGCAAGAAGGAAACAAAGTTCATTTAAAAAGAGAAATAAGATGCTTTCCATAGGTATCTTCACTTTTTAGGTCAACATAGACTTTGTTTCTTTAGCATTCCGAGCCGTTGGGGTATTACCCTTATCCATTCATCTCTCTTATTGGCTTTTTTCCCCTTTCAAATTGGTGTGTGTTTGTATGTAGGTCTGCATGAATATTATCTCTCCACCATCTTCGTGATCTACTCTGGTTCAGCTATTTTGTGCAAGCACCTGTAGTCTCTCTATTATCTGCCATTCTATTTAAATGCCCCAACCAACACTCTATCAGCTCTCATGATTAACATAAAGAATTAAAAAAATTATTATTATCAAAATTTCATTTAATTTATTGTGTGTATAACTTTATGCAAACTTGGTGTTTATTGTTATGGCATTAACATGATTTATTTCAGCTATTAGATTTACTGGAAATGCACCCAACATCATATGTCCACTTCATAAAAACAACGCTGACCTTTGTTGTCCAGTACAATTTCACAGCTAAAGGTAAACGAACTTATGTTATCTAATTCTTCTTCTTCTTTCGCTTGCTTGAAATAGATTATCTATATCTGCAATTCTGTCTCTAGTATGAATGTTATCTAATAAAAAATATAGTGTCAGTACCAGTTAATATTCTTAGATAATTCTCATTTCATATTACGTTCCCTGTGTGGGTTATGGGGCCCAGCGAAAAAAGAACTAACCCATTGCCCTCTGACATTTAGCTGAAATCGCATGTTTTGAGCCAAATATCACATCAAGGCTGTCGGTCACAACAGTGTGCAAACTGCCCTTTTAAGGGCAAACACAGAACAACAGAAATTAGTATTAAATTAATATTACAAAATTTCTCTGTTGGATATAAAAGTAAAAGATGTAAAAGACCCCTTTTCCACTCCTTGATGCGAAAAGGGGCCTATGAGGCTGGACCTATATTTTACAGAGCCATTGACACTCATTTGGTAGTGTGGTTGGGTATAGAGGATTCACACCTCAAAAAAATTCAAAGTAGTTAAATGGGGTTGTGGAAGGACTATTCTTCACCCCGTGGGGTATATAGGGTATGTACCAGCTGGGTATAGACCAACTGGAAACTAGATCTCTGTAAGGCTAGACAAATCTGGCTGGAAAGTGTACTGTTGAGGCACATCCTGTAGGGTCTGCAGCAGTGGTTATGGCAGAAGTGTTTGACTGTGATGACAGGCCTCCAAATTTAGCATTACATTGTGAAAAGATTATGACAAGAAAATGTGTGTATGATAGGCATGTTTAAAGGTTTAATGGTGTTATTGAAAATCAGTAGGCATAGTACTGGTGTATTCACCTTGTTGATAAACATCAAACAATACAGAAAGGTGGTAGCCAGTTACAGTGAAATAGACAATATGCTTTATGTATATGTGGGTAAGTGTGGATGGAATTTTTGCCTTCTTCGACACGAAGCACTCAAATGGCAGTTCAGTTATGGTTTACTCAACCTGGGTCATGCTATGTTTGGAATGATGTACAGTTCCATTCTTTGTAGTAGTAGTAGATTTTACCACACTAAGACATCACACACGCGATAAACACCCAATGGCACAAAGTGCCACCATGTGGATGAGGATCACCTGTGGAGAGGTCCCAGAAACCGCGCTCGGCCATGAGACCATATTTATGGCTGGGCTATATTGCGACCCCTGGTAAGAGCCAGGGTGGGGCTTCAAAATAACTAAAAATTGCATCCCACAAATGGATGACTAGATGACATACTTTGTTTCGTTTTAAGGGCAAAATAAAGAAAATCACACGGAGTATGCTGTGATATTTCTGTGTGTGTGTGAGTTTAATCAAATTGTTCAGTTATATCTTCACCTTCGACTTTACAAAGAGAAATCAAATCAGCGCAGCAACAGACAAATGATAAATATGACTGCCATCTTCATGCTTGTCAGCCCTGCCCCTCTTACCCATTCCATGCACTCCACTATTGTTTTTTTTCCAGTCTACCATGATGTTTGGTATAGCCAAAGTATTTTAGCTTTGAGACAACATGTTTACGATTAATTTTAATTGATATTCAGATCTTTCAGGATGTCAGTATTTCTTCTTTTCTTGATTCATGGTTTTCTAAGAATCTTTCTTTAGCATTACAACTCAGAGATCCCTGTATTCTTGCTTTTTGATTGCAAGAGAGTCCATGATTCACATCGTATGCTGCTAAAGGAAAAATGTATGATCTCAAAATGTTCCCTCTATGCCAGCGGCTCTGAACCTATGGGTCGGGACCCCTTTGGGGGTTGAACGATCCATTCACAGGGGTCGCCTAAGACCATCAAAAAACACATATTCACTGAAGTTTTGAAGTATCAACAAAACTAATTTTTGTTGGGGGGGGGGGGGGGTCACACAACATGAGGAACTGTAATAAAGGGTCGGGACATTAGGAAGGTTGAGAACTACTGCTCTAGGCAGATATTTAAATAAATGCTCTAACTAAAAACATAGCTTTACAAATAGAAGTTATATTAAAGCTAACCCTATTTGCTTTCGAGGGCCCATTCACATGCTTGTCTTATAAACCAGAATTTAATTTTGAACCAGGTCTATTGTTCGAAGGATTTACTGTGAATTGTTTCAACCTGATGAAACAGATCCTATTTAGTGATGTTTACAAGCCTAGGAAGAACAAGGAAGGTACATGCTAGCTTCTCACGCTGTATTAATGTAAAGTTGCGTTTTCTTTACATTTATATGTTTATTGTATTTTCTTGTCTGTCTTTTTTTAAAAATTTATCTGACATTTCTGTGCATTTTTTTAAATTACCAAACTTTTGTATTTATTTCATTTTTGTAACCTTACATCTGTTTGTTTATTTCGGCCTACAATTTGCATTTCTTTTTATTTACCTTACATTTGTGAATGTGGTTAATTTAAAAATCAGTAGGTTATTTTACATTGGTGTATTTGTTTAGTTATTTACTTACTTTACGTTTGTGAGTTTTTGTCTTACATTTGTGTGTTTATTGTATAGTTTTTTTTACCTCACATTTGTGTTTGTGATTGTTCATTTATTTACCTTACATTTGTATGTGCGTATGTGTGATTGTTCATTTATTTACCTTACATTTGTTTAGCTTGTTAAATATTTTTGGGTGTCTTACATTTGTTTTTATACTTTATTTACCTTAAATTTACTTATTTATATTTGTCATTTATGAGCACCAGTCAGTAGATATCAATCTGTTTATCATCCTAAAGGCATTAAATAACCTTGTATAATTTTCACTTCTGTAAAGTTTGTAAATTGTGACTAATGTTTTGAAATATGCATCTATAAACTGATTGTGTAATTTTTCCCACAGAGGATATCTGCCCTGTCACATTAGAAGCCAGTGCTATCATTACAGAGTTCTTCACATTTGAGACTCTAGCCGAAATCTGCCGTAGGCTAGTGTCTGATTATTTTCTCTTAACCACTGATGACCTTACAACATGGGATGCAGATCCTGAAGAATTCTGTAAGTTGATTTTATACATTATTTTACAGTTTTGTGTTGATAATTTGTATATATTCACATAGCATTGATTTATTTACTTGTAATCCTAATAGAATTGGAAGGTAAATAAGGTTAGAGCAGTGTCTGAGGATGGTAGTAATTTTCATATTAATAATACCCTCCCTGTGTGGGTTTTAGGGAAGAAACTATAGATCCTTTGAAGTGTGTTTAGAATGGATAGTGTATAAAACCTATTTTGATAATCATTACATTTATACTTTTAAATAGCTTGTTTGTTGTTGGTGGCTATTGCATTTATGTCTATTTTATAGTTATAAAATAAGTATCTGTGTATGTGCACACATGTAAAGATTAAAATAATATGTATATGAATAAAACATGATGCCCAACCTCAGTTATGAAGATGACTTTAATGAAACCTTACCCAACTTTAGGAGAGAAAAAATGAAGAAACTAAGGTTATTTATGGAGAAAAAAAAATTGCCTTGATGTAGATTCAAACTCAAGACATTTGGGCTAACAGGCGAGTATCTAGCCACTACTCTGCTGCGGCTATACTAGAGTGCCAATAATTATTATGATAAGTTAGCAGGTTCTTTACGGAATGTCGCTCTTGTCACAGCACGCATGAAAGTCTTTCTATCTCAGCCGGTTCTCCAGCCCTGTGTGCTTTCATAGCCAGTGCATCTTCACTTTTTTTGTACCCACCTTCATGGAGAGAGTGCCAGTAAATGTATAAAAGTATGGTTCGATAACCGTGTACCTGGTGGGGCTAAGGTAGTATATGGGTTAGTCTGCTGGCCCAAATGTGTAGGGTTAAAATCTGCATCAAGATGGATTTTTTTTTCAAAATTTGCTTTGGCTTTTAAGTCAACCCTAAAATGGCCTACCAGGTAATGTCCTAGGAAGTAAAGGTAGCTCTCATGGTACTCAATACATCGCCCATCAGTCACTGGTTTGTCTAAAAAAATTATAGTGCTAGCCCTATATGCCTGATGCACAACAGGCGTGTAAAAGGATCCTTTACTTTAATTACCATATGCCTGATCTGCCAGAGTTGATTTACTTTCTCTCAGTATTCTATGGGAGGAGACTAAAGTGCCATGAAACTCATAAAACTTTACCAAAAGTCAGTCTGGCATTTACAAAATAAGGAACCTTGTTTTCATGGCAGGAGGCATCTTGTGTATATAGTGCTAACTCCATACTTTTAGATTGATGGATGTGTGATTGACATGTGGTATGGTCAATATCAGGTCCCATTACTAAAGGTCACTGTTCCCTGCCTTCATTATCCTAGATCCTTCCGGGCACCCGTATTGGGCTTATAGGTCACCTGTGGACTCAACAAAACTCAACTATAGTTTCATGACGCATGAAAAAAAAGGTGGTCCTGATTACTTGTGATGGGCAAACAACAGATCAGTATTACACCAACTGTCTTTACTTTCAAAATACATGCCTGGAAGCCATTTTATCAACCTCCCACCCCCTTTCAGATCTTTGGAAAAAAAAAAAAAAAACTCATCCATCTCAATGAGGATGTGAACTTAAGTTCACCAGGCTAGTAGACAGTAAGGAATCCTGGCTCTACTGTAGCTTCTGATTTTTGTATCATTGTTTCCACAGGTCAGGAAGAAGGTGGAGATTCCTATAAATATTCTCTCAGGGTAGGTTTTCTGGTTGCTGATTTTCTTATGATAGACATTTTGTGTGGCTAATTTTAGATTTTAAATGATTGTTAGGGACTGTTCTTGCACACTAGTTAGTGCACTTTATTAATTACACAGTGATTCTGGGTTCAGTCTCCAGCGCACTGGGTGAGTTCTGGTGCTCAGTTTGGTGGTAGTTGTAGGAGGGGTGGGTGCCCATCTGCTGCTACTCTAAAAAGCATATTGTAGATGACTAAATTTAAATAAACCGGATGTGTTCGGCTGAAAGGTGCAGAGATCACAGTCTAGTTGTAAACCACAATATGGTGGCAACTACCCTTTTAAGGATCAACACAGCTACGGTCGATCTGTCTTGTGCTGATTTCAAGAGTGGTACTGAGAGCTTACTATTTAGAAAGCAGAAGCAAACTACTAAACATTAAATTTATGAGAAAAACCACAACTGCCAAAAAATGCTGGGATTGGTTCTGCAACATCCTGTAAAAAATACGCAACTAACAGAAGATAAAGTCTCCAGTAGTTTGTTGTTGTTATTGATCCACTGGCGCCAGGCAAGCTGCAAATTATTTGTTCAAAAATTGTGTCTCTAGTGTTGACCCAGCCTTCTAAGATGGATGTCAAATATTTATCTCATTACTTATTAATGATTTAAGACTATACATCATAGCATGCTATGCACACTTATAGCTTACAGGAACTCAGTATGGGATATGCAGGATTGCGAAGGAATGAAAGAGTGGATTTTTTGGCTACAGCTTCAGTAGCTTCGAGAACACTCATGATGGATAAAGAAGGCCTTCATTCTGAAGACCATTTATGACTAAATGCTGATAAAAAACATGAGGTTAGGTGAAATAAAATATGTAAGAATGTGTGCATGGGAAATTATTAGTGGATTTGGCAAGGAGGGATGTTTGAGAGGAAGAGAATAACGTGTATAACCCAATGTGCTACAGGAACAGTTAGCATCTATATCTGAAGACATTAGCTGCAGGAGGCAGAGCATTTGTGTGTATGCCCGATGTGCTGTGATGTCGATTCTTAAATCAGTGCATGAATATCTAAAACATGAGGAGATAAGTTGAATCAGAGATGATTAATTTGGGGATAACTTGAATAGAATTATATGATATCTGGGGGGGGGGGGGGGGGGGGGGGGGGGGGGGGGGGGGGGGGGGGGGGGGGGGGGGGGGGGGGGGGGGGGGAAACGGAAACGAGGCTTAGCATGGGTTTAACATGCAGATTTAAAAAAAAAAAAATTTACCTTGTCTCACACGTCAACCGGACCAAAAATTGGTACCAGGTAATGTCCTGGAAAGTAAAGGTTGCTTTCATAACATTCACTCACTGAGTACCGATTGTTCTATAAAAATATATATCTAGCTCTATATGCCCGATGTTCCAAAGAAATGAAAGGAAAGGGTATTTTATTTACTTACTTAATTATCTTAAGCCTGATTTATATAAGTTCCACTGTGCAGCTGACCACATTATCCACCGAGGGCAGATTAGTTTATATATAGTTAAATATGATGGCGTGTAATGGGCCCTTCACTTTATTAACCTGAGCCATAAATGATGAAAAACATCCTTTTGCATAAGTTGGTTGAGAGCCTAAGCTTCAGTGGGAGAGCGAAAGACAAAAGGAGGATTGTCATTGCTCACTTATTATTGCTCTATTGACAGCCCTGCACAGAAACCTTGTTTCTGACCATATTCAAGACATTCCGTCTGTCCTTAACTCCTGTCCTGCTGGAGATGGTGCAAGCTGTCCAGGGACCATGTGACCCAGAAGATCTTGCAGCTGTTCTAAGAAAAGATGCAGGTAAGGACAATAGTTTCAACATGTCATCTTCCCAGTATGGATTCTGGTACCCTGTTGCGGGGGAAAAACAAGAATAGACCTACTGCTTTACCAACAAGCATGTCACAAGAGTTGACTAATTTGGGGTTTTCTTCGAAGTCTGAGTGCATCTGCCTGAGAGGCAAGGAACCAAGTCTGCATACAAATAAGTCAGATCTGTAAAATGGATGCACACACATAACTTAGGTTTAGGGACAGCTCAAAAGTGGTTAAACAACACTTAATGCCAGAGTTTACAGCCAGTGAACATGAAGAAGAAGATGAAGAACATATCATCTGTTTGGAATGTACACCTTTAGTTGTCGTTTGTTTGAAACTAAACTGTGGTCAGTGTTGTTGTGAGAAATAATTATCTTGTCTTTGTGAATGATATGTTGCTGTATACTATATTTGACTGGGTCCTAGTCCTTGACAGTTTCCTTTCCCATTTGGGCTCAGGGGCCCCATTGGTGGGGGGGGGGGGGGAATAATCCCACTGCCCCCAACCAGCATGTCATATCAGTTAGCTAATTAGGGCTGTTTCCTTGAAGTCAGTGTACATCTGCCTGAGAGGCACAAAGCCAGTAGTCTGTTTGCAAATAAGCCAGATCCTGTTGAACGAATGTTAATGCAAAGCTTAAATCCTGGATTAAAACTAAAGTCCAGAATTGGATTAAAAAAACCAGAACTTTCTGCACAGAATTTATAGCCGGTGAAAATGAAGAAAGTTTCCTGAGGCTATTTTTTTTCTTCCAATTGTTAATGGCTGGTTATCAAATTTCACTTATTATAGAAAACCCCCCCCCCCCCCCCCCCCCCCCCCCCCCCCCCCCCCCCCCCCCCCCCCCCCCCCCCCCCCCCCCCCCCCCCCCCCCCCCCCCCCCCCCCCCCCCCCCACACACACACACAACACACAAGTGTCAGTGTCATTTGTGACAAGAGATAAAGAACAAAATAAGACTGCCTAAAAAATGGTAATTTATCTGAATATAAGGCATCTTTTGCAATGTTTCTCTGTCATTGGAAGTTCGAGGTAACGGGCGGAGGGGGGTATAACACTAAATAACCATTGTGATGATTTGCTATTTGCGTTAGCTTAGAAAGGTGTAGTTCTGTTTAATGACCTCATTTTCCCACCCCACATCTCCTCACACAAACTCACACATTTATCCTTCAACACTAGAGTGCAAATATTTGATCATGTTTTCAGCATACAATGCTGTAGGCTTGGCCTCATTTGATCTGTTTGATGAGATTGACTTTGACACCTGGTTCACTACCCACTTGCTGCAGGAGCTTCAGATCAAGCACAAAAGGTAGGTCTGGTGTCTGTAAGGCCATTTCCATGTTTTGATGCATATGGTTAGAAAAAACAAAATCAACTTGAAGGGTTCTTTTTGCGCCAGTGGCATATCAGGAATATGATGCTAGAATCAATACTGTAGACCAGTCATCACTCAATGGGTGGCGTGGCCAGCCTTATGCTGGTTTACCTTGACTCCTAGGGTGTTGTCTGGTACCCATGTTTGCTGGGTCGGCCTAGGAGCCACGGTCTTTTTGACTTAGGAGTTCAGGTAATTAAAAATGTCTGATACATTGAAGATTTGAAGCTATGACTACTGAGCGGTGCACTTTGATAAAGAAAGATTATAGTCTTCCTCGTCCTCCTCCTCTTCTTCTTCTTCTTCTTCGATCCATGTGTCATTCATTCATTCATTCATTCAGTAGCATGTCCCTTGCGGAACCTCGCTGCCATAACAACCCTCCGGAAAACCTTCCTATCCTGAGCAAGATGTCCTGCGTCTGATACACCCATCTGGAGATCATCTGCCACATCCTGCACCCATCTTCTCCTTGGCCTTCCTCTTCCTCTCTTCCCAGGCATATACCCCTCCATTATTGTTCTCTCTAGACTTCCATGACGTTTCAAGTGACCAAAATATTTCAATTTTCTTTGTTTTATTGTCTTTACTAGCCAACCCTCTTCAATATTCAGCTCTTGAAGTATGGATGCATTTGTTCTTTTCTTTACCCAAGATATTCTTAGAACCTGTCTGTAACATTTATATTCAAATGCATTTGAATCCGTGTGTCAGAAAACTTAAATCAGGAGGCAGGTAGCCTTTATTAAAGCTATTGTGCAGTCCAAGTCTCCATACTTGCCATACAATATTGTCTTCTTTAGGGTTGAAACAGACCAGACTGTGTCTCTGTTGTCAGCACACATATTAGTAGTGAGAACAAGTGGTGAAAGGAGAAAATAAAGCACACAGTTTTGCTCGCCTGTGTAGTATAAAGCAGAGTAGTTTGATAGCTTGTCTTTTAAAATACTGCTTCTTTGAAGGAGTTTCTCTGATAAGCCAGGTGTCATAGTGGTTAGTGCTCTTGCTGGTCAGGACAATTCATAATTGCGAATTTTACCGACTTTAAGCCTTATTAAAACAAGCTAACTAATAATTAGACAGTCGTACAATCATTTTCAGTGTTAAGACTGGTCTGGATTCTATCCTCTACCGAGGCATGATAATTTTTTCTGACCTGTACAACTTTTGGGTTACCACAGAATCATCAAATAGATGCCATTCATTTAAAGTCCCTTTGTGGGTTCCAGGGCCCTATTGTGGGGGGGGGGGGGGGAATAGATCTACTGCCCTCCAAAAAGCATGTCGTAAGCATTGACTAATTTGGGATATTTCCTTTGAAGATGGAGTGCATCTGCCTGGGAACCAACAAGTAAGCCAGATCTGTCAAATGGATATGCACGCTAAACTCAGGTTCTGAAGCAAAACTAAAGCCCCGAAGTGGATGAATCTTCGGCTGGAGTTTACAGTCGGTGAACACAAAGAAGAAGATTTATTTAAAGCATTAATGTCAGTAATATTGTTTATTTATATATTTATTTTGTTATTATTCAATACATCCCGCATGTGTTACAATGGACTAATTAAATCCACCCCAGTGCCAGATTATCTTGATTAGGGCTGATATTTGTGGTAGGACTTACATTATTAGCTTCCTGAAAAATCATGCTAGTGTTTATTTTCAGGTTAGGTCTTTTTCTGAGAACCATTGTTGTTTTTTAAAACAGTAAGTGTTGAATGACAAAGCTTAGTTTAAAATAAATAATCGCTTGGTGTACCAAGTACCCCGGTGAAGGACGGGATTATTCACGTGGACTTCTAGTAATTTTCCCTGGTTTCTGGATAGTAAGACTAGACATCCGTTTGCATTGTTGCACACATAAAAAATACCTTGGCAGTTGGAAATCGAAAAGAGTATCCTAACGGCGCTGCCCAGGCACAATTTTGAGTACAAAATCTACCCAAAGTATTTCAGGATCCTCGCTGGTGCAACGGAGTTCGTGAATTGCGCTGAGATTCTTCAGACTCAGGCTTGAGTTAGAAGTAGAACAAAGCACTTATGGGTTTACACCCGTGTGCCATGATGTTTATCCGTCGACTAAACTAGCATACTAGTTAACTAATCACTCTGTGTGTTCCTTTTCGCAGCTACCGTGTGCTGCGTAAGCGGGTTGTGTGGCTAATGGGTCAGTGGGTTGGCGTGAAAATGTCAGTGAACCTGCGCCCAGCTCTGTACGAAGCAGTGCTTGGCTTGTTAGACCCACATGAGGACCTGGCTGTGAGACTTGAGGCTGCACAGACTCTCAAAACTGATATCCTTTTTAACTAAATGTCTGTAATATGTTCACTGTTTTTGTAGCCATTTTATTTTCTAAGCTCTTTTTAGTCTGTAATTGTTTTCTTTACTTAAGTTTATATATAAATTCCCATTTATTTTTGAATGAACAGTTCTTCTTGTCCCAGAACCTGAGTTTTGTGTGCACATCTGTTTTACATATCTGGCTTATTTGTATGCAGGCTGTTTGTTCCTCCTCTCTCAGGCTTATATACTTCGATTTCAAAGAAAACTTCCCTGATTAGTTGTCTTGTACAACATGCTTGTTAGGGAGGCAGTGTGTCTCCACCCCCCCCCCCCCCCCCCATCACCCCTAAATGGGGCCCCAGGACCCACAAGGGGGAACATGACCACTAAGCGAGCACTTTCCAGCAGGCAAGCATGCACTAAAGCCAGTCTCAGTGTGTTGCTTCACTCATGTAAAAGTTGAATGTTTCAACTAATCCTGTTCTACTTCCTTGACTTGCATTACCTGTAGATGATTTTGAGTTCAGTACAGAGCAGCTGTTGCCGGTAAGTAAATCTCTGTTGTTTGAAGTTAGGATTGAAAAGAGATCAGTGGTGTCAAAGGGCATTTATATATGTTCCCTGTGGTTGTGTCTTTCAGATCAGATAATTAGTGTTTCAGTTAGGGGTTAAAGTAAAACTGGGGTAGAATGGGCTGTTCTAGGGCTGAGAGTTGTGCCAGACTTGATAAAGTAGAATGGCAAAAATTTGTTAACTATATAACTAGAAAATCTTCTCTTTAATCCACAGGGCAAACAAAAAATAAAGGGAGCCCTTAAAACATTTAATAAATAACAGGTGGCATCTTTCCATCTTCCCAGATGATGGTGCTGTATAATGCTATAGGAGGCATGGGACCCACAGCCCATGGTGATACCAAAACCAGTTAAAGCCATGGGTGAAGTTCCTCCACTCCATAGCACAGAGTGGACAGTATTGTTCAGGCACCATGAGTTCTTGGCCTGCCTTATTTACTCCAAATGAAAGAAAACACCAGTACGTTTGAAACAAACAAACAACTAGGGGCATGAATGAGCTGAGTTAAATTGATTTAAGAACCGACGTCACAGCCCTCGGGGCATTCCCATAAGTGCCCCATCTTCAGCAGCCAGCGCAGAGTTCCAATACTAATGGTGCCAGTAGCATTCTGATTAAACCTCTGTATCATCTTTCCTCCAAACCTCAAGCACCGGCCCCTCGCCACTCCCCACTTCATCAATCTTACCAGACTGGTGATCCATCTGCTCCTCCGAACTGTCCACGCTTTCCCACAAGGCCCCAACCACGTCTGCCTTATCATGCATCACTAATTTACTAAGTTGTGCAGAGCCAGCCAGTCTGTCCGCCTGTTTATTTCCCAACACACCGGCAAATCCCGGAGAAAAAATCCAGACAGTACTCCTCACCCGTATCCTCCGCAGTGAAGAATGCCACTCTGTATGAAGCGTGCTTGTCCTGACCTTCCCCAGCAGCATGCTTTCTGAGTCAGTAGGAGCTCGGGATCAGTAAGAAGCCAGTGACTAAAATTAAGGCAGCGATTTGGTGGTGGTGGGGGGGGGGGGGGGGGGGGGGGGGGGGGGGGGGGGGGGGGGGGGGGGATGGGGGGGGGGGGGGGGGGGGGGGGGGGAGGGGGGGTGGGGGGGGGGGGGGGGGGGGGGGGGGGGGGGGGGGGGGGGGGGGGGGGGGGGGGGGGGGGGGGGGGGGGGGGAGGGGAGTGAGGTGTGGGAAGAATTAGAAGAAAGGAAAAGAATATTATTATTAACGGCATTACCATGTTTCATTGTGGAGTAGCAGATTAAATTCTTAGTGAATACTTTTTTTCAAAATAAACGAAACAGCTATATGTTTACCATATTGTAGTTTAGCACCTGATGTCGTCATTTGTGATCCTTTCTCTTCTTGTTACACTTTGGATTCATCACAGACATTTCATTTCTGTTTAAATGTTTCTTTTTTCGTTTTGTTTTTAATGCCCACATTTGACACCGATAACACCTTTAGCACTGGTTTCATGTATACAGAGAATGATTGGCCATGACACAAGTGGGTGAAATTTAGAGGTCAAGTTAAGTACTTCTTGTTCCATTTTGTTAAATTTTCTTATTGGTTTTGTGTTATTTTGTACATGTTCACACAGCTCTCTCCAGTAGGCTACAATGTTTTTCAGTTGTGTGCATGTTTTTACTCAAGTAGGTGCGCACCTGATTGTATAGCTAACATGATTTTTATTTTGTTTATTTCAGTACATTGAGTCCTTGTTTTCACTGTTATTTCAACTGCTCAAAGAAGTTCGAGAATGTGATACTAAGGTGAGTTTTCAATTAATTTGTATAATTTTCTTTAGTCCCATGTTACCTTAACATTAGAATATATGAGCATTTAGTTTGGTTTTGGTTAGTGGTTACTTTCATTGAATACAGATATCTCCAGCAGTACTCCATAAGGACTTATATGAGTGACAGTATTTCAAATATTAATACAAATTGCAGAAATGTTGGAGAGAAATGATTATACGATTTAAAAAAATAATAAAGATACATGTAAAGAATGTAGCTTTAGATTGTGTACATTCCTGTTGGGTTTCAGGTTCCCCAATCATATTGGGGGGGGGGGGGGGAAGTTTGAGGAGAATTAATCCACTGCCTCCCTATCGAGCATATCGTAGGTGACTTGTTGGGGATTTTTCCTCGGAAGTTGGAGCAAGTTGCCTGAGAGGCCAGAGACTAAGAGTCTGCAAAAAAAGAGAGATGTAAAACCGATGTGCATGCAGAATCTAGTAATGGAACAAGACTTATATAGTCCAGATGTTGATTATTTTTTTTTAAATTATTATTATTATTCAGAAACCATAAGTTGTAAACCCTTTGTTTCAGTACTATAGATATCGCAACCCTTCGGCCTAGATTCCTTGATATCCCTGTGTGGGTTCCGGGGCCCTGTTATAGGGAAAACATGAATAGACCCACTGCCTATCCAAAAGCATGTCGTAAGAGTCGACTAGTTGGGAGCTTCCTTTGAAGTCAGAGTACATCTGCCTGAGAGGCAAGGAAACCAGCAGCCTGCATTTAAAAGTCAGATCTGTAAAACAGATGCACACGCAATACTCAGGTTCTGGAACAGGACTGCAGTCCAGAAGTGGACAAACAACCAGAACTTTCCGCCAGAGTTTACAGCTGGTCAATGCAAAAAAAAAAAAGAAGAAGAAGATTCCATGATAGATACCGTAAATCTGGGAGAAATGTGGCTTTTATGCCTACCCCTGAGTGTGAACCCGGACCACAAGGAGTTCGTCAGCCGGTCGCCGCCGAGGGCTATAACTAACTGCACTAGCTAACCAGGCTTCAGAAGTTGATAAGTAACCAGAACTTTCCACCAGAGTTGGTAGTTGATGTGGCTGCATTCTAACAAGATGATTGAAACATTCTATCCTCTGATTCTCAGTGATTTTGGTGCAAAGTTTTTAGCACATTCTATCTGATAGTACCATTCTTCACTCTGTCATTCTCCTCTCCTCTTTCGTAAACCTTTACTGCATTTTCATAAACCATAAAAACTGTCTTTAGCATTTAGGATACTGCAAATAAAATCATGAACCACTTCTGGTGGAAAATGTCAATTAATTAAATGCAGTCACAGGTTTTAAGTTTGGCATTTATTTTTGACTTGTCATTTGCTCAGGGCTATGGTCCAGAAGAGGATGTGCCAGTCTAGGTAGATGCTACGTAGATGCAGGTATTTATGGCTCACTTGCATGGTCAGCCTTTATTTAGCTCTGCTTGTTTTACATATAAGTAACAGGGCTTTATGTGATGTACTATCTAATAGTAGTCTTGACATATGTCTGAACCATTTGACCGGTTTTCTCTTGATGTAGTATGCTACTGGTTTCATCCCAACTGTTTTTCTGATATTGTCATTTCTGATCCTGTCTCTCCTAGTTACATTTAAGATTCATCGTAGTCATTTAATTTCTTTTGTTTAAATTCAACTTTTTTCTGTTGTTATTAGTGTACTGGTAACATTGTCAGTCAGGATGTTTAAATAGGGTGAGACATAAAGACCCTGGCTGTTGACACATGAAGTGCAAGTAAGGTTTTTTTTTTTCCATTTCATAGATCAAAACCTAAAAATCTTACTTTACCAGAAGAAGACACATTCTCTCCAGGAGTGAATGACTCTTATTCTAAAAATTCACCTGTTTATACAAGTATCGTGGGTTTAGTAAAACCTTCTGTTTCAGAACTTGGTACAGAAAACCTAAGAGTCTGTTTGAAGATAATTCAATGTTACGTGTTACTGGGCTCCAGAGACTTTATGCAAGTAAGTTTCAGGTTGTTCACAAACTCTTTATCAATGGAACTAGACTTATTCCAATGTATTAAGTGCCTGGTGCAGCACTGTGAGCTTTTTTTTGTTGTTGTGTGGAATGCCTTTCATTTGTGCAGCAGTTGAATCATCATGTGACTCAAAATAAAATAAAATAAAATAATCACAAATAAAATACATCAAGTTACTCATATTTGCTTTAAAATTCCTCACATAAGTTTCCCTACCTCACTTGAAAATGTAACTCTGTGAACATTACTAAGATACTAGACAGGAAGTGCACACTGACTAGTGACCACATAGGGTGGGGCTTCAAAATAACACAGCATTGCATCCCTCGAGGGGACGACTTGTGTAATACAATAAATTTCTTCAGGTTTCACCCCTTCATTAATCAGAAAATTGGTAACAGAATACTGCTCCTCTTTGATGCATTGTGATATCCCTGGATTAACACTCTTGATATCCTTAACAACAATATTGACTGGTTGCAAAACAGTGGCATGCATAGTGATTGTAACTTCTTTCACACTTTTAAAGTTTTATTTTGAAGCCCCTTAACATTTTTTTAAACCGCCTTATGTTTTTTCTAAATTTCCTTTTTAACATATGCCAGTGAAAGATGGAGAACCACACTAAAAGTTAAATGCATTCAGAAAACAAATGCTTAAGAAATTGTTGAACATTAAATAGAATGCATTCAAGAAAGTTGAGAAAAAATAGGAGAAATGAAGGAGGCATCTGGATAACAGCTAGTGTCACACTTAAGGGGCAAAAAAGTTTGCGATATATGGATCACTTTCTGAAGAAAAGCAAACAGAAGTTCTCCCTTTACCAGACAGGTACTTAAATAGGACACAAATGGATTGAAAAAATTAATGTGCAAAAAAACCCAACGTGAGGTTAATGTTAAATGAAAGGCCAAATTTCCTGAACTGGATTCCAAAAATGTTGAATTAAGAATAGACCCCCCCCCCCCCCTCCATAAGTGCACCATCCCCTTCAGCAGCAAACGAAGAGTTCCGATGGCACCAGTAGCTGTCTCATTGTACACCCGTCTCGCCCTTTCCTTGAATGTTTAGCATCCGCTAGATCCTCTGGTAACTCCTGGTTGTGCCATTCTCCTCAGACCATAATGATCCATTTGTGCTTCCACACTGTTCACTCATTCACAGAGGGCCCTCACAATTTCTAGCTTGTCATACATCAATTCACCCAAAGTGATAAGAACCCTGCACAAGTCTGAAACTTGCTCAGACACTTTGACCCACTTCTCACCTCCCACAAATTCATCAAGCCTGCACACATGTCTGATTATGTCTTCAGCTTGCGCCATCCAAGACCTTCCTCTTTTCAGTCTGTGACCCTTAGAACAACCCAGGGCTTAATGCAAGAGGTGCTTTTTATCTGCAGCTACTCTGAGATATGACTTTGCTTGCAGAACTTTGAGCCTATATAGGCAGTGCAAGTATTTATCACACACTACATACTACATACTACAAGGGTATCTCTTATACATCCCAGAACTACCCGCATGGCTTTATTCTGCATGCGTTCAAGTTTCATCAGCATATGATATGGTAAGCATTTTAAGTCCATAATCTATCACTGACAGTATCACATGCTGGAACATTGTGAACACATTCTTTGTTCTATGTACATTGCTGCCATAAACTTGAGAGCATTGAGTCCTTTTTGGCATTTCACCGCAACAGCCTCCACTTGATCCCTATTGAAAGTGATACCCAGGTACCTCATTTTGCTTTCTCTTTTGATGTTATTTTTATTAATTTTGAGGCTTGGAACATTAGCGCTTACAATTCTATTGTTCAGAGAGCACCACAAAACAGCCGCTTTTTCTAAGTTTATGACAGCATCCATTTCTGCACACCAGTCAGTCACTTTGTCTACAGTTGCATGTAGCTCTGGGGCTATCCGTTGTCTATTACTTTCCTGCCTATATGCAAAAACATCGTCAGCAAATGTCAGTATCCTTCCAACACCTGCTGCTTCAAGTTCTGCAATCTTGCTTGTATACACATTGAAGAGCACTGGTGAAATTGCAGAACCATGGGGCAGTCTCGGGGCGATATTACATGGTTCTGAGGTCCATGTACCCAGGCGAAGGGCAACCGTACATGAAGGCAGGACAGCTGCTATCCAGTTCTTAAGCCAGGGACAAACCCCCTTCTCCATGAGTGCAGATAGCAAAAAAACTTCATACCTGACTCTATTGTAGGCATCCTCAAGATCTAGTGCTGCCACAACTGTCTCCTGTCTGTTCTGGAAGCCCTCATAAACATCAAAAACAAAAGTAGCTGCATTTGACCAGGTATATTTTCGTTGCCGGTAACTACCCAAACCTTTTGACAGGAGCCAAAAATATTTTGTTGGGTTATAATCCTGAAGCCGCTGAGTCTGGATTCCATCCATATTGAAACAGTTGCACTGGGTATAACAGAATACAAAAATTAACTGAGAGCCCTGTGTGACATAAAAGGATGCTGGTGTCATTATTACATTTGTCTTGTGTTATTTCCCTCTGATCCTTGTCATAAGTTATATGTCTATAATCTCTTTGTCATATTGTAGTCTCTATTTGCTTTTTTTGTTTTGTTATTTTTGTTGAGATTCAGGTTGCCCTTTTTTAACCCCCATTTTCTTTCTCACAGGTGTATTCTGAGGCTGTTGCTACTTGCTTGTTGAGTTTGATGACAGATATACGAACAGAAGGAATGGTGCTGATCTTAAGGGTAAGCAGGAATCTTTTTTTATTTTTTATTTCTATTTAAAAAATAAATGCAGAGTATTTAAAAACAACGCAAGCAGTTTGCGTTGCTTGAAACACAAAACTGCACCCACACATATGTATTCAGTGATTCATTGACTATGATCTGGAGGGTTGAGGCAGGTTCGGTGTGAAGGCAGTGGCTTGAGTCATAGCAGAAGTCCACTGTGCATTTTTATTTTTGTTCCGGTAAACGTGGGCAATGATGGAAATGAAAGAGCTGATAGGTTGGCCGCATTCGATGTGACTACCGACGGTCAACCTATGGATCAGGCTGATATTACTAAGGCTTTCAGAGAAATGGGAAGGGTTGAGGACTTTAGGGGCAGTGAATCCACATCACTTACCAGAATCTTCTTCTTCTTCTTCTTCGATCCTTCTGTCAGAAAACTTATATCAGGAGGCCGGTAGCCTTCAGAATGATAGACTTGGGAGTTAAGATCAGCATAGCAGAAAACAAGACACACATCAGAGGACTTGTTAGTCAATATAGAACTGGTATGCTGGGGATAATACTGAGGGGAGGATCTCAGCACCTATGGACATATCAGGGGTGCAGTGATGATAACCCAGCTAACTAACTAACATATTTAATCTGTTTTACGGTTAGTAAACTTACTATATTTGTGATCAATACAAGTTTTACTAATTAAATGCTAACTTGCACAGATTGCACATCACCCATGTAGCCCTGAATCCTTGGGTTGAAGATCCATCTCTACACCACCATAAAAATGGGAAGAACAGGCAATAAAGACTATGACTGGATCTTCTTCTTCTTTGTGTTTACCGGCTGTAAACTTCTGGTTGTTAGTCCACATCTGTACTTTTTTTTGGTTCTAGAACTTGATTTTACAGATCTGCCTTATTTGTGTGCAGACTGTTAGTTTCTCACCTCAGGCAGATACAAATCCACTTTTGAGGAAACACCCATAACTAGCTGCCTCTTACAACATACTTTTTAGATGGGGCACTGGGTCTAAGGTGGAGCCCCAGAATCCACACAGGAATATGGCTGGGTGATGCCAATCTTTAAAAAAAAAGCACCTTTAGAATAACGTTGTTTAGTTATTATGAATCAGAAGAATACAAAAGCAGGCTTATGTTAATTTATAGGCCAAAGATAATGTCACTTTATATCATTTGTTTACACTGTGTTAATAAACAGTCAAGTATGCTATTTCTATCATCAGTTGGTGGAATTAATTCTAAAAGCATTTCCAAATGAAGGCCCTTCAGTGTTCCAAGCCATGTTGCCCGGGATGATCAGAACAATTTTGGATGCAGAGGTAGGTCAGTGTATTTGTTGTTGAAATGTAAAGTAAAAAAAGTAAAGGACCCTTTTCCACACCTTTAGGCATATAGGGCTAGACCCATATTTTTATAGACCAATCGGCACAGGAGGGTGATGTGGTCAGTATCACGCAGGCGCCCTTTACTTTCCCGGGACTGCACCGGGTACTCACTCAAAGCTAGGTCGACCTGGGAGCCAAGGTCATTTTTTAAGAAAGTCTTGCTCCGCCAGGGAGCAAACCCACGACCTTCCGATCTGCGGTGAGCTTGTTAAAATGTACAACAGCTATATTTGATGAAGAAGTCAACAGTAGATTGTACAGTAGTCTAAACTGTACTATAGACATAGTTGTGAACATGTATTTGCCCTGGTAAAATAGGCATTTACTTGAATGTAGCTGATTTTGTATTTCGGTTAGAAGGATTCAATAATTTTTCTGCATTAAATGATGTATGACAAACTGGATGTTATGAGGGCCCTTTATGAGCGAGTGAAGAGTGCTGAGGAACAGACAGATTATTACGGTCTGAGGAGAATGGCACTGCGAGGAGTTGCAAGGGGATCTAGCCGATGCTCGACACTCGGGGGAAAGGCAACACCGATACACAATCAGACGGTTACTGGTACCATTGGAATTTTAATTCTTTGCTTGCTGCTGAAGATGGGAACGGAGCGCTTATGGGGGTGTCCCGAATGCTGTGATGTCAGTTCTTAATTCTACATTCTGCATTAAATTAAATTATCACTGCACCAGATGAGTTGCAGGGAAATGTACCAGGCAGTCAGTTGTGCAGTCTATTGTTTGTGCCTTCTTTCTTCAAATTAGCAGTGCGGCAACACTATTTTTTTAATGTTCTGAAACCGCTTTGTTGTCAAATATGATATCAGAAATAGCTTTATTTCTTGAAATATGCTGTATGTGCTCTCCTTCTATCTCACTGACTCTCTCACACACACTCTCTAACTATCTCCCTTCCTTTTTTTATCTTCCCCCGCACTTGCCCTCTCCCCCCCCCCCCCCCCCCCTCCCTCCTCTCTCTCTATCTCTAAAGGATGGTCAGAATAATTTTGGATGGAGAGGTAGGTCAATGTATTTATATTGACATGTACTAACGGCTTTATTTTCAACTGTGTTGGTGGAAAAAGGATATTTACTTTAGTTAAGGTCTTGTTAACAGCTGATGGTTGCTCTGCATGCTATGATTATCTTCCTACTTTAGGAAAACTGTGTAGTGGTGGCCATGCATCTGAGTTTATTTGCTCGAATCCTGTTACAAAATCAGGAGTTCATGTGGTCAGTTATCCAGCATGTGGCCAAGGAGATGGGCAATGATGTGAGTGCCATGTTTTGTAAAATCATTTATTTGTTTATGTCGGTCAGTTTAGTATTGGTTGCTTTAACAATTTTTAATTGAAAACAGATAGAAACTAACAGAGTTCGTAGTGGGCTTTAACTCTTTGAGTCCCATTGGGTTTAGCATCACAGGCCCAGGGGGTAGTAAAAAGAGTCATAAAATCGGCGCATCGTGCGTTCATTGGGCTTCTAGGTAGGAACCTATGAACATATGATGCGTTTCTTGGGACTCAAAGAGTTAAAACCGGGAATAAGTCTGGAAATGCAAGATCCCTCTCAGGGTCTGGAAAAAAACTATGGTAGTCGGGCTTTTTGGCTTTTTTATGTGTGTGTGTGGTTACAGATCTGTTTTCAACGCTCAGTATTCTAACACCCCACCACCACCATGTCTTTCTTCTCTCACCCCTCCTCTTTCCTTTGATCTTTCACTCTTCTACCTTTCTCTTCTTCATACTCTCTTCCTTTCCTTTATCTCTTCTCTCTTATTCTCCTTTCTGCCCCCTCTCTTCTTTCTGTCTCCTCTCCATCCTCTCTTCTTTTCTGTATATTTTCTTACTTTCTTATTCTCTTCTTCCAACCCCGTCCCTACCCCCCCCCCCCTTTTTTTTTCCTTTCTCGATTATTATATTTACTATAACTGTCTTTCCCTAGTGGTTGTGCACAGTTCACAAGAAATTGTGTTATGGCTGGGGCATTGAGCAGGGTTTCAGCATGAGGCTGGTGGGTTTTCCCCCTTCAAAGTTTTGTTATGTTTGTTGGCAATTCTGGTGCACTTTTACTGTCTGTCTTCCTACCTGCCTCATCTCTCTTTATCTGTTTGTCAGTGCCTGAAAGATTAGGTGTTTTTTTCTTCTTTTTTTTTAAAGAGCATTAACCTTTTGGGCCATACAATCAAAAGAAAAATCCAGGAATCTGTAACATTCCAAATAATGTTGTGTTTTATGTCAGTTTGAAGAAATTCTTCTTCTTCACTTCCTCTTTTACCTCTGTGGGTGTCGAGGGAGATATAAGGTTCTGTTTCTAGCTCTTCTGGCTGCCTCGACCATAGGCACATCGTGCTGTTGTAGAGTTTCTCTGATGTTATCCTTCCATCTTGTTCTTGGTCTACCCCGTGCTCTAATCCTTCTTCTCTTTCCATGTATGCTTTGTATGGTATGGTGTCACAAGGCATTCTCTCTAAGTGGGCAAACCATTTCACTTGCTGTCTTTGTATGTAATCCAGAATTGGTTCTGTGCCGACTTGTTCTCTTATGATCTCACTCCTGATCTTATCTCTTATGGTCACTCCTACAGCCCTTCTCAGACAAGAAATTCTTATTAATTCCCATTAAAAATTCTGGACAACCTTGATTCCCATTGTCGGTATTAAATTGTGTAAATAAAGTTACTTGCAGTATAGTATTGTCAGACTGGAAAAATATTAGTAGAAGGCAGGAAGGAGGGGCAGGGGCCAACCAACACAAAGATGGACACAGGATATAAGTGACTCTTTAAATGTGAAAGTATGCAAGGCAGGAGAGCTGGCGAGAGACAGTTTCTTTCAGGCAGACCATGATGAGAGCGATGTTCTGCTTAAGACCTGCTACATGATGATGACAGTATAGAGTAAAGATGGCAACATGTGCATGCACAACTTAGCTATCACCTGATGTCAGTGACACTCCACTATCAGCTTTTGACGACATGCACAGAATCGTTGATAATAGTGAATTATCACCATCGCTGCCACTTTCCACATGTAAAGTACAATCTAATGGGCCTTCTAGCACACCATCACTTTTGTCACCATTATCAACAATAGAATAACATTGACTTTTTGTTGTGTGAATGGTATAAATAGAACGTTTATTACCTCCTTTACACTGACTCATTTCGAAATGCTACAAAACACAGCCTTTCAGTAAGTAAAATATCTGTGACAATGGCCAACATGTTATGTTTAAAATCCTTTGTTTGTCATTTACTTGCATTGCACGCTCACTGGAAAACAGATAAAAACCGCTTAGAATGCATCTTGAGTTGAGTTGAGTCAAGAATTGACATCACAACACTCGGGGCATTCCCATGCATGCTCTGTCCTCATCTTCAGTAGCCAGCACAGAGTTCCAGCAATGTCTTGCCTTTCCTCTGAGTGTAGTGATCCGGCCAGACTCTCTGGTTACATCCAGGTGCCTCATTCTCTCCAGGCCGTAATAATCTTCTTTCTCTAGCATCTTGAGTACTGAATAGTGCAAAAAAGGCAGGTTATGCTGCATTTATGGAAAATTTGGCACTATCAGAAATGTCAGATTTGCAGAAAGATTGTGGATAAAAAGGAAAATTGTGAATACAAAGAATTCATATTTATTTTCTGTGAAACCTTCAGCTTAAATCTAGGAAACGTTATCTCCCCCCAGGCTGACTCATTGTTTGGAGCGTTGTTGGACCACTGGACTGATCGCATAGACATAATCACACAGCCAGAAAGACGAAAGCTGTCTGCCTTATCTCTTGCATCAATACTACCTCAAAACTACAGGTAATTGTTTGAAATTCCTAAACTTGTGTTCTATTGTTAAAATCATCGCCATATTATCCAGTCAAAAATTAGTGTGACGTTCTGAAGTATTTTGCACAACCATGATGGGAGTTGTGTAGTATAGTCTTGGATTCAAATCCACATTAATGCTGACTTTGTTTTTTTGGTATTGACCTAGGCTGCCAGGTTGACCTAGTCTAAAAAGGGAAACCAGGTAATGTCCTGGTAATTAAAGGTGGACTTTGTGATGTTGACCACTTAACCTATTAAGTACAGATTGGTCTGTAAAAAATATAAGTTTAGCTATAAATACCCAAAAGAGGTTACTTACTTATGTTCCATTTACTCTCATAAATCTTGCTTTCTGTTTGCTGGTAAACTTATGCTTGGGAAATTTTCATGAGTTTTCCCTATGACTTCATCATTATTATGCGCATGCTGGTGAACAAAGGCAGTCTCACACAGTCACCAGAATCGCAGATCGGGTCTGTGTTCTTGTCATGCTTAAGCCACATGGTTGTCATCCTCATATTTATCTCTACTACTTTTTTTTAAATTCTCGTTTGCTAATTATTACTGTTTTCAAATTTATCTCTCCTCATAACCCACTAAACAATTTAAGCTATGTCTAATTTTTCAGTTTATGGGTTTCATTTATGTTTAAAGAATGCCTCATTTGTTTTTCTGTCATGATATACTTAACATTTTCTTCAGCAACTGCATTTTGTTTCCTTCTTCTTCTTCTGCACTCCAGGTCCTTGATGTGACCCACCTCCATTAGTCTCTCTGATTGTCCTTCTCTTTCTATTCTGTCACTCGGTCTGCTAGTATATTATCTCCCAAGCATCTTCTTGGTCTGCCTTATGCTCTACCACAATTCTACTGCTATTGTTTCAGCCTATCCATACAGCTAAAAGGTTCTTTAACTCTTTGAGTCCAGAGAAACGCATCATACGTTCATAGATTCCTACCTAGAGGCCAATGAACGCATGATGCGCCGATTCTTCTCTTTCCATGTATGCTTTGTATGGTATGGTGTCACAAGGCATTCTCTCTAAGTGGGCAAACCATTTCACTTGCTGTCTTTGTATGTAATCCAGAATTGGTTCTGTGCCGACTTGTTCTCTTATGATCTCACTCCTGATCTTATCTCTTATGGTCACTCCTACAGCCCTTCTCAGACAAGAAATTCTTATTAATTCCCATTAAAAATTCTGGACAACCTTGATTCCCATTGTCGGTATTAAATTGTGTAAATAAAGTTACTTGCAGTATAGTATTGTCAGACGGGAAAAATGATGGGAGTCGTGTAGTATAGTCTTGGATTCAAATCCACATTAATGCTGACTTTGTTTTTTTGGTATTGACCTAGGCTGCCAGGTTGACCTAGTCTAAAAAGGGAAACCAGGTAATGTCCTGGTAATTAAAGGTGGACTTTGTGATGTTGACCACTTAACCTATTAAGTACAGATTGGTCTGTAAAAAATATAAGTTTAGCTATAAATACCCAAAAGAGGTTACTTACTTATGTTCCATTTACTCTCATAAATCTTGCTTTCTGTTTGCTGGTAAACTTATGCTTGGGAAATTTTCATGAGTTTTCCCTATGACTTCATCATTATTATGCGCATGCTGGTGAACAAAGGCAGTCTCACACAGTCACCAGAATTGCAGATCGGGTCTGTGTTCTTGTCATGCTTAAGCCACATGGTTGTCATCCTCATATTTATCTCTGTCTACTACTTTTTTTTTTTAAATTCTCGTTTGCTAATTATTACTGTTTTCAAATTTGTCTCTCCTCATAACCCACTAAACAATTTAAGCTATGTCTAATTTTTCAGTTTATGGGTTTCATCTATGTTTAAAGAATGCCTCATTTGTTTTTCTGTCATGATATACTTAACATTTTCTTCAGCAACTGCATTTTGTTTCCTTCTTCTTCTTCTGCACTCCAGGTCCTTGATGTGACCCACCTCCATTAGTCTCTCTGATTGTCCTTCTCTTTCTATTCTGTCACTCGGTCTGCTAGTATATTATCTCCCAAGCATCTTCTTGGTCTGCCTTGTGCTCTACCACAATTCTACTGCTATTGTTTCAGCCTATCCATACAGCTAAAAGGTTCTTTAACTCTTTGAGTCCAGAGAAACGCATCATACGTTCATAGATTCCTACCTAGAGGCCAATGAACGCATGATGCGCCGATTTTACGCCTCTGTTACCCCTTGGGCCTGTGATGCTAAACCCCCTTGGACTCAAAGATGTATAACACTTCAAAACTCATTAAGTCACTTTACATCTTTCTAGTTTTTGTTTTTTTAAATTGGTATATTTTTCATCTTGCAGTTATGATTCGACTGATTTCCACTCCCATTGAGGATTAAAATGCCTGAACATTCTAATGGGGAAAACTTTTATTATTTTTGGACTTTTGTCAGGAAATCAGTAATTTATAGATACTTGATTAAATCATGGCTGAAAGGCGGGCGCCTTTCACAGGTTCATAATTTATTGGGTTCAAATAGCTGCAAAAGGCTGGGAATTTTTTTCCCTCAAAAGTTTTTCTCCAGAGGAATCAAATGGAAGACAGAGAAAAGAACAGCAGAAGAAATCTTGGACTGATAACATTAAGAATGAACGAAATGCAGTTAATCCACACTTGTGCATGTCGATAGAAATAGCGAATAATAGAGGCTTCGACCACTGTTGCTTCCATAATTAAACTCCTGTGATCTGTGTTCAGAGTTGAAAGTTGATGTATCTATTTAATATTCTTGTCTAAATTTGAATAAATTGTGTAAAAAAAATATTTTATTAGTTTTTAACATGTGTTTGTATTTCATTCATTCAGCATTGTAACGGACAGATTTGGAGCCATAATAAATTGTCTTGTCGAAGTTCTTCATGATGTTTGCAGACTGGATGATGAAGGTTCAATGGCAGAGTAAGTTTTGTTACTAGCTAACCTAATCACATGAACACATCTCCACAGTCTTTTTTCGGCTACCGTGAAGGGCATTGATTCTTCTTCTTCACCACATTCACTGGCTGTAACTCTAGTGAAAAGATCCAGTTGTTTATCTAGTTCTGGACTTCAGTCTGATTCCAGAGCCTGAATGTTACGGTCACATCCATTTTAGATATCTGACTTATTTGTGTGCTGACTGTTGGTTATTTACTCTCATGCAGATGGACTTTTAACTTCGAAGGAAGCAGCCCTTTATGACATGCTTGTTGGGAAGGCAGCGAGCCTATCCTTGTTTTCCCCACACAGGGAGGACATTGATTCATTTTCTGACTGCCATTTGGTTCTCAAGAACGTGTGTTTCAGATGTCCCTGGGAGTTGTTACTCGGTCGTTAAAGGCCAGTCAATCTAGTCGCCCTTCCAGAATCATAATGTGTTTTGACTTTTTCAAATGGATTTATTTGTGGCAAAAATATGTAGTATAAAATATACAGTATAACCTCACCTTTGTGGTTGATAACTTCTTGAACCAGTCTCTACTTGCTTTACATTTGTCAATGCTAATCATCACTTGTATTCAGCATTTTGCCACTCAAAATCTGTGCAAAAAGTAAAGCCTTTTCACATATTAGAGCCTTCCTAACAAAATCTCCAGCAAGCTGCTTTTAATTAATCCTGGCCATATCAGCCTTTTTTAGCACATCTTTGTTCTTTGGTACAAAGTGTTATTTACTCCCAGTTCTAGTTTATTTGATCTTATTGGTACTGGACAGATTTAGCTCAATTGTATGACCGTCACAGTTTAAGCAGATTTCTAAGTACCCCTGACTGGTTGAAAAATCACATATTAAAATGAATGAATAGGTATTTTAAAATTTTAATTTGCATGAAAAGGAGAGTATAGAGAGTAGCTAAATAACAAGTAACAGTGGGTTAATAAAAAATTTGTGAGTTGATCAGAATGTGAAGGTGAAACAGTACTTTTCTATTAGAAGATTGTTGATAATTGATCTTCTTCTTAGCGTTCACTGGCTCTAAACTCTGCTGACAGAAAGTTCTGGTTGTTCGTCCACTTCTGGACTGTGGTCTTACTCCAGAACTTAGTTTTGCAGGCACATTCATTTTACAGATCTGGCTCCATTTGTGTGCAGATTGTTGGTTCCCCACCTCACAGGCAGATGCAATCTAACTTCGAAGGACAAACCTCTGTAATCAGCACCTTGTTGAGGATGTAGGTCTGTCCCCCCCCCCCTTCCCCCCCCCCCCCAAATTGGACCCCAGAACCCTCATCAGTTCTCATTATGCCTAGTGGCACATGAGGCTTCAGAGAGGACTTTCCATGCTCTCCTGTCCTGTGCAATCTTCAGTGCAGTTTTCCATGTCAAAGATGCCGCACTCAGGTCACTTTCCATCGTTCGTCTCCATGTTGTTTTTGGGCGCCCCTGTTTTCTTTTTCCCTCTGGTGTCCATGTGAGAGCTGTTTTGGCGGGTATATCAGGATTCATTCTCATAACGTGGCCAAGCCATTTCCATCTTCTCTTGGTAATCATACTGTCTAAAGTTTCTTGGTTTGTGACTTGAAGTATTTTAGTGTTTGAGATTGTATCTGGCCAGAAAATTTTGATAATTCTACGTAGACATGTGTGGTGGAAGATGGACAGCTTGTGTGCATCCTTTTTGGTCATTCTCTAGCATTCTGCTCCATAAAGAAGAACTGGCAAAATGATGCTCTTGTAGAGTCGGAGTTTTGTTCCTCTGCAGTAATTGTTGGATTTCCAGATTTGCCTCATAATTACAAAAGCATCTCTAGCTTTGTTCAGGCGTGACTGTATGTCTTCCTCTGTCCCTCCCAGTAGGGACACCATACTGCCAAGATATGTGAAATGTTCTATATTTTCAAGTGATTGGTTATTTATGGTCATTGGTTTTTGGTTTGGACTGTTTGTCATGATCTTAGTTTTCTTTGTATTTATTCTCAGTCCCACCATTTCTGCTGTGCTGTGTAGTCTGTTACTTTTCTCTTGCATATGTTCATGTTTAGGTGATAGGAGTGCCAAAAGATCTGCAAAATCAAGGTCCTCAAGCATGGTGAATTGAGTCCATTGTATGCTTCTCAATGCCTTGTCTACTATGTTTTTTAGTATCCAATCAATCACAAGGTTGAAGAGGAGAGATGACATAACACATCCCTGTCTTACACCTGTCTTTACTGGGAAAGATGTATTGTAATTTTTTATACTGCAGGAAAAGTCTTTATAGAAGAGAGCAATTATGTTGACTATTTTTTTCTGGAATTCCATAATGTTGTAAAATTTTCCAGAGACTGTCTCTGTGGACGCTGTCAAAAGCTTTCTCAAAGTCCACAAAATTAATATATATACTTCTCTGCCATTCATTGCATTGTTCTAAAATGTTACATAGTGTGAAGATGTGCTCAGTTGTTCCTCTGCCCTTTCTGAATCCTGCTTGTTCCACTTGTAGGCATTTATCTACTCCTTTTTCAAGCCGCATTATGATGATTTTACGAAATATTTTGCTTGGTTCTGGGGGATTTGGACTATTGTTCCTTCAGTCCAGACCCTGGAACCCTTTTGGGAGTTTATTGTATCAGACTCAGCAAATTCAAGCAAATGTTTTAATTGTACCAAACATTGTTTTTATTGTACCAGACATTGTTTTTATTGTATACACAATGTCTCAACAGTGGTCTTGTGGTGGAGCCTGGGACTGCAACCTTAGACGACAGTCAGGACAAAGAGCACGACAAAAGGAAGCACATGGTGAATACATCAGGATTGTGTACCTGTTTTGTGTGTTTGTGTTTGCAATGACACTGATTTGGTTATTATTTTTGTTGAAAAGAAAAATGTAGAACTTACACTCAATCAAGAATTGATTATACCACACTGTTAATTTTAAAGTTAAAAAAAAAGCACAAGGCAAAATAAATAAAGCTGCTATGTATTTCATTTTAACTTTTGTTTTTAATCAGTTGTTGTATTAATAGCTCAGAATGTTCCAGACCATTTTTCTTAAAGGTTACGGATTTTGTTTACAACATACGGACATGAAATGGGAAGATAGATGTAGAGCTCTGTGAGAGAACTAAACAAGTTCCAAAGGGCCAAGAGGTGAAGAAAAGACGCTGGCATTGGATAGGACACATGTTGAGAAAGCCTGAGAACAATATAACTAGAATATCTCTCACTGGAACCCACAGGGGCATAGAAATAAAGGAAGACCAAAAAATACATGAATGGAGCTAGAGAGTGAAGTTAAAAAAGATGGGGAGAGCTGAATGCGATAGCGAAGGATAGAACAACTTGTCGTGAGTTGGTTAAGGACCTGTGCTCCATTAGGGATTGGAAAGACAAGAAGACGTTGTCATATTGAAAGCTCACTTTGTTCCAGATAATTTGTTAGAAGTTACGAATTCTGTTTACAACACACGTACTAGAGAAGAAACAGCATAGTTCTCCAAAACTTTTGGCTACATAAAGGGTGTAGAGATATAAGCTTTACTAACCTTAAAACATAGTTTCTCTCTCTCTCTCTCTCACACACACACACATTGTCTATGTCCGTCTCTCTCTTTTGTTGTTGTTGTCTGTCTCTTGGCATTGTCACGTGTGGATCAGGCATTGCAATGGTGCTTCATAATTCCTGGATGCCAGATTTGATCCCAGCTGTGGGTGATTTGGCAACAGACCACCTTGTATACGTTTCAACTGAGGTATTGACAGCTGACTATTCAGACAAAATATTTTTTTCAGAAAACTGCTGAACGTAAAAAAATAAAATCACAAACAGCCCAAACAATGATGGGGCTAGTTCTTCAGTGCCATATAAAGACACACAACTAACTCTCTGTCTCTCTGGTAACCTCTTTAAAAAAAATTAAAACATGGTAGCTCTTTGCAGAGGTATTAACTCATTATCATTCCGTTTGCAGCTTTCGAGGCAAGACCCTGTGCACACAGTTTGCCTTAAGACCTATGTGGTCTCGCAGCTGAACCTGTGCCAGCAGATTCATGGCCAGAAAGTCTTTGAGCAGCTCATGGCACAAGTAGACCAAGATGTTTCCAACCAGCTGCAGCCATTTCTCCATTAGTTCTTCTGTGAAGATTATAGTGTCTGGAGGGGGGGTTTCACATGTTTCTGGGTATTACCTTCTTCTGTAACTCTGATCCTGACACAGCCTGTTAATGGGCTTGTATGTTGCTTTGTTTTACAATCTGAACTGTTGTTACTGCTGCTTCCATTGAGGATGAACTGGATTTCTAGTGTCAGACTGTTGTGTTGGCACTTCTGATGGCTGCTTTATACATTCAATGAGTTTGTATACCATTGGCTTTGCTGAGACTGCAGACTGTATCAATTTTTTCACAAGGGACAGTGATGGATATTTTGTATGGTTTTTTTTTGGCACAGGAGCGGAGCAACTATAGTAAAGTGGAGGTCCATTTTCCACCTCTTTAGGCTAAGAGGGTTAGACCTATATTTTTATAGACCAGTCGGCACAAGATGGGTGATGTGGTCAGCATCATGCCAGCCATCTGCACCTGCTACACACTCAAGGCTGGGAGTCAAGGTCATTTTTTTTTAAAATCCAGCTCCGCCAGAGAGCGAACCCACGACCTTCTGATCCGGACTCGAGGGAGCAGCTATTTGCTATTAACTTGGAACTGATTATATGATTACAGTAGATAGAGCTTGATAGTTACACGCTTTTGCAAGCTGGTATAAGACAGAAGCACATTGAAGACTTTGGTCATCATTGGCATTTGTTTTTAAAAAACAAATATAATTTAATATTTAGGCTATTCTCCGAACTTCGGGCACCAAAGATGGCAGCTGCAAAATAACTTTTCGAGCCACAGTCACGTGTCAATTGCACACTTCCGGCAACTTAATTTGCGGTTTTCCAGCGACTACCGCCACCGCCATGAGTTCCCCCACGCCGCATCTCCTGAAGCTCTGCTCATGAGTCCTAGCCATCTAGTTTAGCCCCAATCCACGCCGCATGAACGGCTTGGGGATCTCGTGGCGGTGGCGGTAGTCGTTGGGAAACCGCAAATTAAGTCACGTGACTGTGGCTCGAAAGGATATTTTGCGGCCGCCATCCTTAGTGCCCGAAGTTCGGTGGATAGCCAATATTTATATATTAAGGGATCTGTGATGGTATGGTGATTATTGAACCACCTGACAGTACACTAGTTCTGGATGTTATCATGTTCCTTTAGCTTTGTTTGCTTTCAAAAGTTTGGTTATGTTTACAGCTAGGCTGCAATATTTGCACCTTTCTGCCCAATAAATCAAATTTGAGCAAATCCCTAATTTGTTACCTTTTATTACAGAAATATGCTTACACTGTATATTGTCTGCATCTGTTGCTTAGGCGTTGACATTAAGCCCATTACAAGTTGTGTCATGCGTGACAGTGTTATTCGATATGGCCAGTCAGAATCAGAGTACTGTTATGCCGCATATTGTGAGAATTTATTATGTAGAATAAATGAGACTTAATGGTTAATAAAACAAATCATGAGTATATATATTGTTGAAATGTGATTTTTTTTTTTATTTACTTGTCAGAAGTCACAGAAGAATCTATGTAAAAATCTTGTAAAGTTCTTGTACAGTTAAAAATACTGTATTTATATTGACTACATGCCTCAGGATAACAGTAGTTGATGCAGTGAGTGTAAAGTAACTGATTGGAGTTTAAAATTAGTTGTGGTGGTAGTAGTCAACATAAGGAGTATGGGATTATTGCAGTTTGGAATCATTCGTGGGAGTAATTTTCATTCCTGAAGCTTGGAATAATTTGTGGTAATGGTAGTCAATATAAAGTTACTAAAACCTGGAATCAGTTGTGGTGGTATTTGTTGGTATATTGTGTAAAGTTGCTGTAATTTGGAATCATCTGTGTTTGTAGTTATTGATATGAGTTCAATTATTAAAGTTTGGATGACATTGTAATGGTATGAAGACACATGGAAGTCTAGTACGCTCAGTCAGGTTAAAGTCAATTTCTGCACATCAGCATTTGCTGCAGTTTGCTAGCATTAACTCTTCAGTATCAGAGGACAGTCAAATTAGTAATAAACCAACATATTCCTTGGTACCGAAAAGTAAATGGTAAGATACTGAATGCAACAAGATACTGATGTGTAATATTTTTGTACAGCATCAGTGGGGTTGTCCGACATGCAAAATGCTAGGGAGAATAAAAAGTTTGAAAAAAGCATGTGTTTGGGTAGCAAAACTGTTTATAGTTCCATGATGTTTTCGCTTTAGTTACAGGTATATATATCTGATTGCTTGCCTATTGCTCAGTATTCAGTTTTCTTAATTCATAAATTCCCTTCAACACAGGGATTATTTTAATTGACTTGAAAATTCCAGGTTAAAACAGCTGAGTATTAGGCTGTTTTATGGGATTAAAGGCAGCCGACATGATATTGATCATACCACCAATAAGGTGCTGATTGGTCTGATTATTTCGTTTTCTGTGTTTGTCCTTAACCCTACCAGACCTAAGGCCCTGAACCTAACTGTCCCTATAACCTGGGCATTACAGCGAAAAACCAACATGATATACAAAAATATTAGTTACATGCAAACGAGTGGCTAGAATATGATGAAACTTGGAGATATTGTAGAAACTAGGCTTACCTTTTATCTAGCACCAATATTCCACCTTTGTGTGCGAATTTACTCATCAGGATCAACTTTGTTTCATAAAGTGAACACCAGATGTTGCCATTTGATGGACACACCCCTTCCTCCTACTATCAATCTATTTCAAGATTGATAATTTTCAAGATTTTCCTCATCATTCGCGCTCTCACTGACAGTGTCACTTCAAGAACGTATTCTTTATGAAATTATCACAGATAATGAATATATACATATATATCACAGAGTCTGAATAAACCAAAGTATCGATCACCTGTTAGACTGTGAAAGCCTAGAACTTGGTTCATCAGCCGCTCGCTTCATTCTGAATTTTTTCACGTTAAAACACAAAATTGATTCACACACACGGGGAAGCCATTTGCAATGTCTAACAAAGCGGACTGACGACGATTGGTTGGTTATTTTTAGTCAGTAACGCATCTTCCTCACGCACTATGCAAATAGCCGAAAATTAGGGCCAGCGGTATAGAGAACAGTTATGAAATTCCCGGAAAACCGGGCCAGCCGTCTAGTAGGGTTAAAATAGCGGTTGGAATGTTGTGTAGATTACAGCTAGTCTTTCTTCTTCTTTGCATTCACAGCCCGTAGACTCTGGTGGAAAGTTCTGGTTCATTCTCTTCTAAACAATAGTCTTGTTCCAGAACTTAAGTTTTGTGTACACATCTGTTTTACCGCTGTGGCTTATTTGTATGCAGACTACTGGTTCCTTGATTCTCAGGCAGATGTGCGCCAATTTCTTAGAAAACACCCCTGTTTGGCATAATTTTATGACATGCTTGTAATTGGTTTTTATTCCCCCCCCCCCCCCCCCCCCCCCCCCCCCCCGGGGTTCTGGAACCCACACATGGAAGCTAGACTAATATCTGCACCTTTTGGCCTAATAATTTTGATTTTAAAAAGTCTTAATGAGTCGGTTTTTACCGTATGGTTATTAAGTAGCAGGAGAACTTTTTTCGTTGATGTAAGAATTTCCCTAAATGGGGCCCAGAGGGGACGTCTGTTACTGTAGAACTAGAACTCTGTCCTTGAATAAAAGAAGCCAAACTAAATCCTCATCAACACAAATATCAAGGACAGAAAATTCAAAAATTTGTGTTAAATAGTTGTGTGCTAACTGGGGATTAATCATTTATTATGAACAATACATCCATGCTTGGACCAAAATTTTGTTTGTGTTATGTGAATATTTGTTTTAAGTAAATTTTTGTTAATGAGGTTTTAGTGTAGAACATTTTGAGAAGATAATTTAGATTTTTATCGAAAAACTACACAGTTCAATCGTTTCACAAGGAAAGAACAGCTTTTTCCAATCATAACAGCCAACAATGAGTAAGACACACTGGTTACAAGAACAGGTTATTCATGAAAAATGTTTAGAAGCTAATGACCAAAACACCCATGCTGTCCTTATCAGCTAGCCCCACTGCTAGGACACCTAATTGGTTCCTTCCAGCAAATTATTAATATTTCTTCATTCCTTCTTTGTACTGTCAGTGACAAACATAGACAATGAGTAGATCATTGGAACAGAAAACAGCTGCCTGTGAAATGTGCTACTACCAACAATAGGGATGGGGGGAATGTTAAAAAAGATAAGGTGCAGAGGCCAAAAAAAGCAAAATGGGAAAGTTTCATGAAATTGGAGGGGTGATAAAATATTGAAAATTCTGGAAATTGAGTATGCAGCAGACGCTATTCTCTATAAAACAAACCAATTCATCTCTGCAGTTCTTTCCTTTAAAGTCGAAGCACATCTGCTTGAGTGGCAAGACACTAAGTCTGCATACATATTTTTTTTTAATATAAGTATCCAGAAACCATGAATCTTTGGCTTGGTAGTATGAATATCGCAACCCTTCGGCCTGATTCCATGATAGATACCATAAATTTGGGAGAAATTTGGCTTTTCTGCTTACCCCTGGGCGTGAACCCAGACCACAAGGAGTTTGTCACCCGGGTAGCAGCACAGAAGTGTTTAACTAAATAAGCTAGCTAGCCAGGCCTGCATACAAATAAACCAGATCTGTAAAATGTAAGTGCAAACAAACTCTTGTTCTGCAACAAGACTAAAGTGCAGAAGTTGACAAGCTTCCAGAACTCAATGCTGTGCTTTACAGCCGACAAATGCTAAGTTGAAGTGAAAAAATAGACAGGGAAAATAGCACACAAATGGACATATTTCATATAGCTGATGTTGAGAATAAGTGAAGTGCTATAGTATAACTTATGCACACTGTTCCCACACTGGGAGTACATTTACCAAACAAATGTTTTTTGTTATTTAACTGTCAATTGAATAGATTTATTTTCCCCTTATTTTCTTTGTGTTACTGTTTAAATTATCAATCAGTAAATATTTATAATAGCTGACGGGAATCTGCAGATTCACAAAATATTTTTTTTTCATAGATATTTGCTGACTGATAGTGAAGTGATTTTATAAGGGGTGGTAATTATGGGGAAAGCAGGGCTGCACAATCAGTTATTCTGTGATGGTTCAGCTAATAATAAATATGCATGACTAAATTTACTGTCAAAAAAAAAAAAAATCCAACTCGATCGTGCTTGAAATTAAAGTGTATATTACTTATATTATGTGCTAATTTGTTTATTTTGATATGCAAAAGATTCCTAAATAGTTGCCGTTTGTGACATGCTTATTAGGGAGGCAGTGGCTTTATTCTTTTCCTCAAAATTAGAAAAAGCTTGTAATGTGCAGCTCATTTCTAATGCACAACCTAAGGAAACAACTGGGCACTCTAGACTTCTAAGGAAATAACCCCTGATTAGTCGTCTTTTACGACATACTTGTTAAAGGAACACTGGGTCTATTCTTTGAACCCACACAATGGAGCCCCAGAACCCACACTGGGAAAAGTAAGTTCTTTGGGATGTAGACTTATGCTTTCTTGTTAAATCTATAGTGGGAACAGCCATTCAACCATTCCCAGTAACTTCATCAATGTCTGTCCAGTTATCCAATTCTTTTGCTGACTGTCCATGCATTTGCATTTCCTGACAATTTGTTGCAAAGCTTCACTGTCAAAACATATTTAGTTTAGCTTATATATATATATATATACACACACATTAAGGGGTTCCGTTAAAAGCAGTGACTAAATGTTTGCATGCTAACCTGAAGGTCTTGGGTTTGACTCTGCATCAAGGAATTTTTGTAATTGCCATAAGGCTTCTAGTTTCACTGCTTTCTTCTTTCATTCATGGGCAAAATGTGTTGGGAATGGGCTCACAAAATTATTCATGTCCTGCTCATGTTTAAATGCTTATGACTGTTTAACCTCACTCAACATATATTGAACCTCTTATTCACTACATGCCGCACCTGTAAAAGCCAGCAGACCTGGGATTTTGATTACCTACACAGAAGGCGTGCTTCACTTATTAGACATATTAGACCTTTATTGCAGTAGACTTCTGTGTCCACTAAATTTTCTGACATTTCCCACAAAGATGCCTAAAGGTATTCAGTGTGGCAGTATATGGATGGATGTGTCTGTTTCATTATATAAGAAAGCAAGCTTGTGGCAAGACACCCTTTCTCGATCCTGATACTCTGATAAGTATAATCTTTTAGTTTCACTCAGCCTAAAACTGGGTTTTATTTCTGTGGTTGTGTCTTTAAATTAACTTTAGAAATTAATCAACTGCAGATGTCCAGCATTCTTCTATAACAAAAGATTCGATCTTCAGTTTTTATGTCACTAAGATTTATGATTATATGAAATAAAAATTTAAATATTGCACAGAAAAATATTATCTCCTGTCTCTGTTTTTAAGTGAAATAATTAGAGTACCTTTCTATGCCCGTGGCACATAGAATATCTAGCGTAAGCCTCAGTTTTATAGACCAGTTGGCAATCTGTGCCTGATGTGGTTCACATTACATTTGCAGCCACTACAGCCCAGGCAACACCTGGCTTCCATTTTAAGCTGAGTGAAACTGGAAGCCCCATGTCAATTTTAAAGAAAAAGAAAAATAGTCCACCACTTCAATGCTGATTTGAACCCAAGACGTTCAAAGCCACATGCGGATGTCTGTCCATTTTGCTACCATAACTCCCCGTGTGGGTTCCGGGACCCAATTGTGGGAAAACAAGAATAGACCCACTGCCTACCTAAAAGCATGTCGTAAGAGTCGACTAACTGGGAGCTTCCTTTGTAGTCGGAGTGCATCTGCCTGAGAGGCAAGAAACCAACAGTCTGCATTCAAGTGAATCAGATCTGTAAAACTGATGTACACGCAACACTCAGGTTCTGGAGCAGGGCTGCAGTCCAGGAGTGGACGAACAACCAGAACTTTCTGCCAGATTGTACAGCTGGTGAACGCGAAGAAGAAGCTACCATAACTAACTGTCTCTAATGTGGTAAATACTGAATAAATGTCATCAAAAGAAAACAAATAGCAAACATTTCTGTTACAACATTCTTTAATATCCCTAGCAGACTGGGCAATACAAATCTTGGGTGGTTGTGTGCAGCTACAGTATCATATTTTAGTATGGATATTTTAAATGAACGAAACAATGTAGTTGTATTCTTAAAGTCATGTTTGAATAATTTTGCTAACCTAAACAAACAAGATATAAACTGTTTTAACAAATAGATGGATTCATATGTACAGAAGAACAAATTCTTGTAATAATTTACACAGAGAAGCACAAATTTCTAATTTGTTAAAAAGCCTAAAGCATCCACAATATTGCCCTTGTATTCTCTTAGGACACGTTCTGCTTGTGTTCGTGATATCTCCATCTCCTGTACCTAATTGGAAGAGATCAGAAAGGGTTACATGAATTTATGTACAAACTATTCTGCACCTTAATAAGATCATCCAAATGAGAAAAACTAAGAACACTGTTTCTGCTTCTTCTTAGTGTTCACCGGCAACTTCTGGCAGAACTTTATGGACTGATTCAATGTGATATGATGATAATCTTTGGACTAACTAATCTCTGGAAGAAGGTTCTAGTTAGTCGACTTCTTCATGTTCCCCAGAAGTAAACTTCAGCGGACTGTTCTTTCTGTCCACTTCTAGATTTTAGTTTTGTTCCAGAGCTTGTGTTATGAGTGCACATCCATTTTTACATTTGGCTTATCATTTTTATATTGGCTTATTTGTATGCAGACACTTATAGTTCATTCCTCTCAGGCACGATTCGTGCAGAGTGGCATGCTTCACTATGGAGGCACGGGGATGAGTATTGTCTGGATTTTTTTCACCGGAATAAGCTAGTGTTTTGGGAAATGAACAGGCGGACAGACTGGCTGGCTCTGCACAACTTGGTGAAATACTGAGGCATGATAGGGCAGACGTGGTCAGTGCCTTGTGGGAGAGCGTGTACAGTTCGGAGGAGCAGATGGATCACCAGCTGGTGAGATTGATGCGAAACGCATTAAGAGGGGGTGTGACGAGAGGTTCTGGCAGATGCTCAAGGCTCAGAGGAAAGGCAAGACGGGTGTTTAATCAGAATGTTACTTGCACCATTAATATCGGAACTCTTCACTGGTTGCTAAAGATGGGGACGGAGGGCTTATGGGAATACTTTGGTGCTGTGATGTTGGTTCTTAAATCAACTCAACCCATTTCAACTCCTCTCAGTCAGATGCACTTCGACGGAAATCCCCTAAAAAGTCGACTCTTACGACATGCTTGTTAGGGGGGACAGGGAATCTATTCTTTTTCCCCCAAAATGGGTCACAGGAACCCACACAGGAAAAAATCCCAGCTGTTTTGTCACCCTCTGGATATTGACTTTAGGATAAGAATCCTGCGTGCACATTCATTTTAGAGATATGTCTTCTTTGTGTGTGCTCTTATTTGTGTGCAGACTCTTGGCTGTTTGCCTCTCAGGCAAAAGGAAACATTGATCCTTTCCATACTAGCCATGCCACCCGGTGGGTAACCTGTTGCTAGGATGACCACTGAGAAGTGTAGACATGTCAAAGTAATACTATCCCTAAACCTGGTACACCATCACATGTGGTTTAGCACCTCTGCAACCCAACTTATAGATTCTAAGCATCAACACCAGAGCATACAAGACACACCCACAGATGCCACAGCTCTCATGACAAATGTCTAAAGGCAGTGTTTCCCAAACATTTCTTAGTCGCTGCCCTATTTAAAAAAAAATGTTTCCACAGCGCCCTTGTCTAAGTAAAAGTATGACTATTTGTATGTGGGAGATAAAAAAAAAAATTAAACTTGTGTATCTTCGAATATTTTGCGGCGCCCCTGTGAAGAGGGTGTAGCTCCCTTAGGCGCATAGTTTGGGAATCACTGTCTTAAGGTGTAGCACTGGCTGTACACATGTTATACTCCAGTTTCTTAGTCCCTTTTTTTAAAAACAGGATTCATGCTTTATTCTCAAGTCACACAACCCTACACATGCTGATTTATCTTGCACCATTTCTTTCATCAGCATTTATTCATATATATGATCTTCAGAATGTCTGCCTTGTCCAATATGAGTGTTCCTATCGCTGATGCTTTTGAAGCATTAAAAAGCCTTAAAGTTCTTCTGCATTCACTGTTAAATGGGCGGTCGGCACACTGTGTTGTGGTTTACAGACAGGCTGTGAAATCTGTAACTTCCGCCCAACACATCTGAATTCAGCAAATTATGACATGCTTATTAAGGAGGCACGGATATATTCATTTTTTTTTAAACCCATAGACATGGGGCCCCAAAACCCATATGAGGGGAAGTAAAGTAATACAAACACGTATATTCACTCCTCAAACAGGTAGGTTCTCTCAGCAGTCTATGACTGATTATAGCTAGGGTTGTCTTATTCTTTTGTTGTCTCACTGGTACCAGGTTGCAGAGCAGTGTCATGTTTTCTGTATTTGTCTGGCGTTTACTGGGTGGCTAGTATGATGAATTTCACCTTTCTGCAGGTTTTAGCTACACCATGTATCCATCCCTGTCTTGGTCTTCCTCTTATCTTCCTCCCAGACATCCTGCTGTAAAAAGTCTCATTCAGTCAGGCTGCATTCCCACTAGAAAGCTTAACCATTTAATTCCTAATAGCTTGAGTTGTAACATTAGACATAAGGTACTTACAATGTAATCCACGTCATCCTTATTGATTTTCACTTTTGACAGCTCTTTTTCTTTTTCATGCTTGGCCTTTGCTTCTTTGTTTTGTCTGTCGCTGACCACTCGCATTGCCTGTGTGTAAAAGATTGTATGAACCATGTCATAAGTGCAACTTACTTAGTTTTTTTCTTCAAAGTTAAGAGTACACTGCCTGAGAGGTAAAGAACAAACAGTCTGCATAAAAGTAAGCTAGATCTCTAAAAAAAAAAAAGTCCAGAGGCGGATGAACAAAATCTCAGATTCACAGAAATATAAAAAAATCACTGCTGATGCAGAGACATAAGGGACTTGAAATGAGTATTAAGAATCATCAGTAAAGATATATTTCAACTGTTCAGCTTTAGAGAGTATCAGTACATATCCTTCATTTTATTTTGAAATTTCTGTAAGGCCAACCAAGAAAGAGGAGTTGAGGCGGATGACATATCTGCAGCAATAAACCTCAAGAGCTTGAAATAGTGAACAAGAAGAAAAATACTGTAACATACTATGCTGAAATTTCAGCACTCCATGCAAATTAAATTACTACAAAGAAAGCCACCATGATGTAGTGGCTAGACGCTTGCGGATGGGGAGGAAATGGGTCCAGGTCCTGAGAGAGCTGAACTTTTTTTTCAAACATGATTAAGATGACTCTAGTTTTCAGGTCGATCCGACCTTGAGTGGGTACAAGGTGCAGTCCTGGGTAGTAAAGGCGGTCTGCGTAATGTTAACCACATGATAACCTAACCAACTACTGCCGCTGCATATCGGTCTTTAGAGTTTAGTGTATTGATCATTGATGAAACTAACAGTAATTAATAAAGTAAGTAATATAAAGCCATATGGCGCTCCTTTGAATCATTCCCCAAAATGGCGGCATGCCACATTCTGGCCATAAAATATTCAAACGCCGGACTTTCTGCCAAGGAACAAATCGTGGCAAAACTAGGATTACTTGACAATCAATATCAACATTTGCACACATTACTAGTAGCAGACGATAAATACCGACAGTTTCTGCAGACGATACTAGCAGATAAAAGCGACCGTTGACAATTTCGAGACATTACAGACGATACCGACAGCGAGTAACGGCCACTATTTGGAACTTCTGTGTCAGAACTTTCACATATGACGTTAATAACGGATAAGTGTTTTCTCTTCCTTTTTGTCCTCACACTTTTCAGCATGCGCAAAACGCGGGATTGGGGACTAAACTAGGTGCCTGGGACTCACGAGTACAGTAATTGGAGGAAGTTGCAGGAGATGCGGTAGCTGTCTCTCGTGAGTCCCAGCCATTTAGTTTAGTCCCCATCCGGGGGATACGCTCGGCGGTGAGGCACAATCGCAGAAGCAGGTCAGCAAGTAACGTATCGCCGAGACCCTGTCAAAGCATTTGTTTTGTTATCCGGAGCCGGCACATATATTTTTAATAGAACTGACCCGCATTCGGATATTTTATGGCAAGAAATTAGCCAATTTAGCTCTTTTTCGAACGCCATCATATTAAAGCCGCCATTTTGGGGAATGATTCAAAAGAGAGCCAGTAATATTAATATAGTAGCGACTACAGTTTTGACAATTTGCGGTCTTTTTGGCAATTTCCGTTACCATAGAAACCGTTTGAAACTTGTTTGGGAAATGTCGGCTGGGGTTTCGGGATGGGTCCTAATCTCATGAAATTTTGCGATTGGTGTGATTTTCACCAGCTATGAATAGCCGAAAACGGCGGGAACGAACCCGATTAACAGCGCATGTCTACGACAGCCGGACGTCCTCTGTTTTTCTGTTACATCAGTTTGATTGAAAATAGCGCTAAGTATTCACGGTTGGCTTTAAGGCCTTAAATATTACCAGACATGGTACCGTAATGCTAGTTATAATTGAATTCTCCGTCCAATTTTACATTTGTCCGTGTCCATTTGTGTATAAAATTTCTTTCTTATCTGTGGCTGTTTCGATTTACAGTGACATTTTTCATGCAATCGCTATTATGTGGCTTGTCTGAGAAAAAATGTCTGCCATCTTGTCCAATGAAAACAAAGCCAAAACGAAAGCTGCGCAGTTTGGCTGCGCAGAGAAAACTTCTTTCTCAGACACAAGTTTTAAGTTTTAGCAGCTGTTTTTTACATTTTATCTCCACAAAAACCTACATATCTGTATCTCAGCTCAGAAATAACATACAAGGCTAAGTGAGGTACCATTGGAAAGAGATTGTTTACAGCTATCCAACTGTGCTGGTTTTATTGGTCTTGAGGGCATTTTGAAAATTTGACTAAAGTACCTAAATATAGTATCAGTATAAGAATAAGTATTAAATAAATTAAACCAACTCACATCTTGAATATCCTGAGAAGCTATTTCTTTCTCCTCGACATAATCAGTTACTTTCTCGAGGTCTGCGGCCCCTGCATCGTGTCTGGCTACTTTTTTGCCTTTAGATTCAGATTCTGCGTCATTTTCTTCCACTTCGGTTTCCTCTAAATTTACGCATGGGGTTTCGTTCGTCGCCATTTTGTTGGGAGACATGAAGAGTAGCGCCCCTTCACAGTGATTATTAATAAACCCTTGTTTCGATTCGCAAGAAAGCGTGCAAGAGCCAGACAGTGGTACACGTGGGAGGATAAAGAAGAGATAAGCGAACAGCAGTCTGAGAGAATGTACCACCTAGACGAAAGACAGAACATGTTGGAGATTTAATGCAGACAACCTTCAGTGTGGAGATAGTGCCTGTTTGATTTATTGACAAAGCCTACAGTTGGCTGTGATCAATTGGTAGTAGGTACATCTGGTTCGGGGGACCGTCATGCCCTTTTTAGGTAGTTCACCAATCACTGGACCAATGGGGACATCCAGCTCTCTCCTGTGGCTCCTTGTAGCTGCCAGCATGCGACAGCGGCCACCCCCTGGGCAACAGCTTTGACGGGCTGGCTAAACCAGGAGAGGGTAGCCGATCAGCCCAAACTGATCGTTGAGTTAAGGAATACCTACCCAGCATGCAATGTCTGGACTCGGCGGACTGCGGATGAAACCACATTGGTTCAACTGACAAAAACGCAACTACCAGCAGGCTCTGGGGAGAGTCTTGAGCACGACAAGGCACCAAAGAAGTCCTGATCATCCACTGCACCCGATTTCATCTCCAGACGTCTTGATTCGTCTTGCCATTGGACTTAAATGGACTTGGGCGAGAGATTGAGGTTGACGAATTGCACAACTCTACCTTACTTAAATCAAAAGCACAGCGCAAGTCATTCTTTCACACATCCCTCATCCAGCCTCGACCTTAATCACCAAGTCCTGTGGCGATGAGCGAGCGGCGAAGCGGCATGCGTGGGTACGATGACAGTCGTAGTTGCAGACTCACGTACAGGCGACTTAGGCCATGTGGTTGCTTCTCACCGACCGGAGCAGCAATGGGATTCGGCAGTCCCCTGAGTGACTGAGCAGCCCTCTTTAGGACAGCCCTGCTCCCCTCCCCTGGAAGGGTCTAGAAAAGGTGAACTAAACATTGCCTGCTCCACTTCTACCTAACTAGCTTATCGCGACTTGTGGGTACCCTACACTAGTAAAGCGGTCAAAAAAAATTGTGCCACTTATCCTTCAAGCATGGAATGTGTTCACACTTCTCGATAACGAAAATGCCAACAGACTTGAAAGACGAACAGCCTTAATAGGCAACTATATTGACCGATTCAATATCGACATTGCTACCTCGGGTGAGATCGGCTAGCGGGTAAAGGTGGACTGTATGAAAGAGGTGCCGGTTACTTCTTTGTGGGAGGGGGGGAAGGGGGGAGGCCAGAGAATAAAATGAAAAACGTGAAGCTGAGGTTGTCTTTGCAGTAAAAACTAATCTGGTTAGCAAGCTATCAGCTCATCCAAAGGATATCAATGACCGACTGATGACTATGAAAATCCCTTTGCCTTATGAGAGATGTCATGCCGCGATCGGTTTTATAAAGAACTGCATTATGTCATCACATCAGTTCCAAAAACAGCTAAGCTTATCTTTCTTGGTGACTTCAATGCAAGAGTTGGTAGACTCGGTCTCTTGGAATTAAACAACTAGAAAATTTGGTGTAGGCAACTGCAATTGCAACGGTCTACTACTTCTTAATATCTGCTGGGAACATGACCTCCTCATCACTAACACCTTATTCCGCCTTCCTACAAGAAATAGAACCTACTGGATACACCCTCAACCAAAGTATTGGCACATTATCGACTATGTTATTGTTAGGAGAAGAGATAGGCAAGATATAAGGATGACAAAAGCAATGTGTGGCGCGAAACTGCGGACTGACCATCGCCTTATAATATCAAAACTTAATATTCGCTTCCAACTACCTAGACGACCTCGGGATAAAAAGAATCTTAAAGCGCTGAACATAACCAGCTTGAAAAAATCACGTATCAAACACCTGTTTGTGGATACTTTAGAAGACCGGCTCCAGTCTGCTTCATTAGATAAGCAACATGTAGAGAAAAGCTAGTCGATGCTCAAGGAGATAATCCATGAAACTGCCACAATGTTGACGAAAACTCAGAAGATATAAACAATCTACTAGCAGAGAAACATCACCTTTACAGAGCATATATATATGATCCAAAATCTGGCTCTTGCTTTCAAAAATGTACGGAAATCAGCCCAGCTGAAATTCCGCCAGATGCGAAACGACTGGTTGAGCAAAAAAGCAGACGAAATTTATGCATTTCTGATAAACATAACATGAAAATTTTTTATGATTCCTTAAGAGGAGTCTATGGTCCAGTATCATCGGGATCTACTCCTCTCTTCAGTGCCGATGGAAAAACGCTAATCTCGGAAAATGTGAACATTCTCAAACGCTGGGTGGAACTTTTTGAAAGTGTCCTGACCAGACATTATCTAAAAGTGATAAAACCTTAGAACGCTTGCCTCCAGTTCATGTAAACAACTCACTCGATGACTTACCTACCCTGGCTGAGACAACAAATTTCATTCGTCACCTCTCAAACGGTAAAGCTCCAGGTGCCGACTCATTACCAACTGAGATTTACACGTAAGGTGGTACAACTCTGGTGGAGAAGCTTCATATTTTCCAGCCATGTGATTTCGTATTCTGTCTTTCCTTGAAACTCCTGCAGCTCTTCTAAGGCATTTCATCTCTGTTGTCACAATGTTTCTGTAAAGAAACTAACCTGACAATGATTGTAATATACAACAAGGAGAAGAAGAACCAAAGCCAAACAGTTTCATCAAAGAACTACCGTTTGCTGACCACCAAGCACTAACTGCTACTTAAGAAACAGAATTAAACAAAATTTGCAAAAAACAAAACAGAGATCATGACCATATCCAAAACAATAAACAGCCAGCTTACAGAAAACCATCTGAAACTAATCCAAAAAAAAAAACTTTAAATACTTACGAGGCATAATATAATCAGCTGGCAGAATAGAAGAAGAGATCGATGACAATTGATCAGACCAACTTATCAGGCAAATGGCATCAATACTAAGAAACAAACATGTGTCAGTAGAAAACAAAAGTGCATTCTTGACAACCTAGTGCTACCAATGACAGACCTGGACAATGACAGAAAAAGAAAAAAGAAAAAAAAAATTGAAACTGAAACAAGATTCTTATAAAAATAAGAGATACGATCAGGAAAGATGAAACCCGAAGAAGAATGGGGGTAGTGGCGGCTCTATATATAATTCATTAACATATAGCAGGTAAAACGGTGTGCCTTTTTAATGTGGATGTCAGCAAACATGTACAATGATTTGCAGACCAGATGGGAAGGGAAGATGAGGTCGACCATACAAACATGGACAGAATGAATAAAAGTCCATGGAATCCTCCTTTTCGAAGTGCATAAATAGGCACTTTCCGGTAAATTACACTTTATCTCGACACCGCAAGGTACCAAAGGATCAAGATGAAATGAGATGAGATTAAAAGGGAACGGGTTAAAATACTGGACTCTCATTACCAGTTTCTATGCCAGCTGTGTAGTTTGTCATTTCTTTGATGTTTTTGTTAGTTTAAATTTTCATATGGGCCCTATGGTAGATTTTACACGCTAGCGTAACTGGAGGACTTGGGTTCGATTCTGCGTTGATTCAGATTTTTCAAAACTGCTTTGGCTCCCAGGCCGACCCAGTCTAAAATGGGCACCAGGTCATGTTCTCAGAAGTAAAGACGGCCAGCATGATATTGATACCACTACCCACCAAGTGCCGATGGGTCTATAAAATATGGACCTAGCATCATATACCTGGTGCATTATTAGGTCATTTTATCATCATCACTATCATCCCGTAACACTACGTGTCGTTGGGTCATCAGTTTCTGCTGACTGTCTGATCAGCTCTCTCCACCTTTGGCGGTCAGTTGCGATAGACTTCATGGTTGCATGCCGGAGGCCTGTCAAGTCAGTCAGGCTCTGTAACCCGGTCTTTCTTGGTCTGCCTCTTCTCCTCTATTGAGCCCTGGAGTATTGTTTTTGAGAGGCCGTTAGATCTTATTACATGTCCAGTACTTTACTTTACTTTACTTTTTCCTTCCACGTATGCCGCTAAGCGTTGTGGGGAGATGCAAGTTCCTGTCATAAGCAAGGCGGGCAGCATCTGATGTTCTGAGGCCATGCTTTTGGCAGGTTTCGGAGACCCCGTCAATCCACAATTTCCTTGGTCTTCCTCTTGCCTTATATCCTGAGCTTCTTTGGTTGAAAATTTGTGATGTTATTTGATCATTTTTCATCCTGGTTAGATGTCCAAACCATTTCATTCTTTGATGTTCTATGTAGTCTAAACATGGTGTAGTTTTGACAGTGTTTCTAATGTCTATATTCTTTATCCTGTCTAGTCTGGTCTTATTCGCTGCTTTTCTTAGACATTTCATTTCACAGACTTCTATTTTTCTTTCATGGGTCTTGTTGATTGTCCATGTCTGGCACTGGTAGCAGAGTGTTGGAATGAAGATGGTGTTTATCAATTGTCTTTTGGTCTTCATGGTTATATCTGGATGTTTAAGCAGAGGTGATAGTTGGTATGTGACAGCATTTGCTTTCTGTATTCTTGTTTCTATCTCTCTGTCCATTCTTCCATCCTCTGTAAATATACTGCCCAAGTATTTGAACTCTTTGGTTTTGCTTGATTTTGGCACTTCCAACATTTATATTCAGTGGCCTGTGTGTTCTGCTGATCTTCATAACTTCTGTTTTTTCTGTACTGATTCTCATATTATGTTGTAAACAGCTGTTGTTGAGAGTAGTCAGATGTTCCTGTAGATCATATTCATTTTGATACAGTATGCTTTGATCATCAGCAAAAAGTAATTCGTTTATAGCATACACGTCTGGGTTTGCTTCTACAGTGATCTTATCCATGTATGTTATGAAAAGTAATGGTGACAGTACACATCCTTGCCTGACACCAGTTGTGACTTTGAACCATTCAGAAAGACCACTAGATGTTCTTACTGCACTTTCACTTTTTTCATAGAGGGCTCTGATGTTGTCTAA